AAATAAATTCTACGATGGATGAACTATGAGCAATTAGAAGATAAGTGCATATTATAAGAATAAATTAGCATCAGAAGTTGATAAAATTGATAATTGTTAATGCGTGTCCTTTATTTAATAAATTAGACAAAATCTTTTTTTGATCTCTTCTTTTTTTAATTAATATTTCAATATATTTTCGCAATAGATGTAAAGCATAAGTTCGAAAGAACTTATTAAAATTATTTAATTTAATTTAATTAATTTAATTTAATTATTTAATTTAATTTATTTAATTTAATCCATCCTAGCTCCATCCATTTTAAGGCAACGGATTTATCTACAATCTACAATCTACATCTACATCTACATCTGCAATCTCTACGAATCCGTTACCTTAAAGTTAAATAAAAGTTTTTTTCACTCACCGGCACTGATGCGCAACAGCGGAGTTGTTGTTATCGAAGCTAGTTGTCTGTAACATATAAATATAAAATTCATTTATAATAATGCTCACAAAATGCAATCAATATTTGAAAAAATTTTTATTGCTCGAAATTTTATATCCGATGTATTAGACAATAAGCAGATAAACACGTATGAAAAAATTTTATAAATTTTTGAAATTGTTTTTAAATAGAAAATTTTATATGACTTTTATAAAAATCTTTCTCTTTAATTCATTTAAATAATAAAATCGAATTATTGTTCATTTATAACAAGTTAAAGATTCATAACAATTAATATATAAATAATAGATATTCACCATCAGGTTGTTCCGCCGATGTAAGATGCCTCTCCCAGGCCTCCTCCTCTCATGTTGTTGACGCGCGATACTTTTAACGGCACTCCCGCACTCACGAGCGATATATTTTTATATCGCTATTTCCGCTATTTTACGCACGATACTAAACGCCACTCCCGCACTAATTCAGATTAAAAATTTGATCGCGCGATGTATATATTTAATATATATATATATATATATATATATATACTTTATACGACACTCCCGGTTTCGGTACGAATATTACAATGCGAAAACGACGCGTTGACGAAGCCGTTCGCGGCACGTTGACAGCACCGACGACGCGAAAGGGTACTTAGCTTCCCATTCAGGCACCTTAAGATTTATCATAAATTGAAAAATTTAAGACAAACCTCAAGGCACCATCCAAGTACTAAGCCCTCCCACCGCGACAAGGTGTACCCCATGGGAGGGTTATATTATATTATATATAATTTTATATATAATATAATATATAATTAATTTTGTAATATATAAATTTTATATATTACACTATATAAATTTTAATTCACGAATATAAATGATAAATAAAAATATAAAAGGTAAGAGAAAATCTATTATATAAAGACGCGCGTCCGCACAACTTGACAGCTGGACTCAGACTCTCTGACAGTCGTTGTTTAACAACATCTTGACAACGCACGCGAAAATGATTTTCTTTCGGCGACAGACTTCCTGCCGAAAGAATTCAATAGGTGGCAAATACATCCAGGGGAACGCGGAGATGTAACAATATAATAAATAAGGAATGTGATAAATAATTAAAATATTAATGACTCACATCATATCTTATTGATCCATTCATTTCCAAGACCTTCTTTTTTTCTTTTGTTTCACTTTTTCCTCGTGGAACTCCAATCCTCGTTGCACTCATTTGAATTCCTTGTTGCACTTACACTGAGTCACGAAAAGTTTCTCGTTGCACTTGCAATTATGTTTAGAAAAAGAATTTGATAATATATGAAACGTCTCACATCACTACTTCACTGCTCAAGAGTCAATGATCGTAAGTGAGCGAATGATAGTAAGTCAGAAACATTACTGCGCGACCGCGGTACTGTTTACATCGCCAAGGTATGTCGACTATCGTCGTAAGGAAAGAATTTGATAATATATGAAACGTCTTACTACTTTACTGTTCAAGGTGACTGTGTGAATGATCTGTAATGTAAGTCAAAAACATTATCGGGGTACTGTTTATATCACCAAGATCGATTTATACTATGTTATTGTTATAATTCATCAATTGAAATTTTCTATGAGTAATTATCGATTAAGAAAATTTAAAGCATTGGTCGAAATTTCATCAATTGAAATTTTCTATGAGTAATTATCGATTAAGAAAATTTAAAGCATTGGTCGAAATTTATTTAATTCTAATAAGTATCGTTAGGAAAATTATTATAATAAGCATCAATAATCGAAAGATCATAACAAAATTAATTCTTTTATCCCCTTTTATGTATCCCCTGTTTCAATTTTTATTCGCAGTAATTAATGATTGCGATTCGATTTATAGATTTATTATTGCGATACAATTTCATGTCGTTAATTAATTTTTAATTTATTCATTTTTATTAATATTTATAGCAAATTATGTTTCAATATTAATTGTAATCGTGTTTAGTAAAAGAATTACAATGTACGAAGCGTTTCTTACTACTACTTTATTACTCGAGAGTCACCGTGCAAATGATGACAAGCAGTAACGTATAGCGCTACTGTTTATATTTTATATTGCCAAAATCGAACGCTGTGTTATCGATAATTTATTACCGAAATATTATACATATATATTATAGAATATACACTAATGGAATATTAAATTATGGAAGTATTTTAATTTATTCACGATAATGAATGATTGCGATTCGATAAAGATTTATAGTTGCGATACAATTTCATTCATCATAATTAATTTTTAATTAATTAATTTTTATTAATATTTATAGCAAATTATGTTTCGATACTAATCGTAATCATGTTTAGCAAAAAAATTACAATATCCGAAGCGTTTCTTACCACTACTTTATTACTAGAGTATCACCGTGCGAATGATGACAAAGGTAACGTATAGGGCGCTGCTGTTTATATTTTATATTTCCAAAGTCGAACGCCGTATTATCGATAATTCGTTGTTGAAATATTTTATATATTATAAAATATACATTGGCGCGAAATATTAAATTATAGAAACATTTTAATTTATTCTTTAAAATTGATTATTTATTAACTAATTTATTACAGAGCCTTTCGTTATGCTAATTATTGCTAATTATTTGCATCTGTAATTCAATTGTTTTATTTCGTGTTCTCTCATAATTCAAATTATATGTTGATTATCAAGTAGAACGATAAAATAATACGAATAAAATATATTTGTAACTCTAAATTTAATTTATGCCCGTATTTTAATTTGAAACATCGGATTTGAAATATACTTTACTCTAGCAAGTATTGTTAGAGAAACAATTATAATAAGGACCAAGACTGAATATGTTAGTGGCAATTTGTTGCCGAAATATTCGACGTATTATAAAATATACACGCAAAATATTATATTATAGAAGAATTTTAATTTATAGATTACTTAATTGATTATTTAAAAAACAATTAATTCATTAATTCATTATTTTGAAAATAATATATAAATATGATAAATAATTTTTATAAATTACTTACCTACATGTATGTATGTGCTCATACGTTGTCCAATTTCGCTTTTTCAGCTTTCTTATTTTCTCTCTTGTATCTTCTTCGCTATTTTCTCGTAGATCTTATACACGATTAATTACTGCAAATACATGAGACATTTTACATTTCCGATCGCGAAATAATCTTGCTAGCAGGCGCATGTTGCCTGCCTCTCTCGCGCGATATTGACTGCGTTCAGCAGGAAAAGCTTCTCAACTGTTGTAAAATTCGTGAATCTGATTGGTGTATGCTCTTAGATTCAGTCAAAATTAAGAGCATACGCCAATCAGGCTTACGAATTTTACAACAGTTGCAAAGCAGCTTTTTCTGCTGATAGCAGCCATTCACTAGCTGTAACGCGACGAGTAAAATGGCGAGCCAAATGCATTCGTTCGATTAATTCGTTAAATATTTATATATACCGAACGAAAAGGTGAATCGGAATGCAATCGTTCGATTAATTGATTAAATATTTATATATATCGAATAAAAAAGCGAGTCGGAATGCAATCAGTCGAATAGTGAATTAAATATTTATATATACCAAACGAAAAGATGAATCAGAATGTATGCGTTCGATTAATTCGTTAAATATTTATATGTATACAGTATATGCATATAAAATACAAAATCTTAATATCAAAAAATTAAAGTAATAAAAAATTGTGTTATAACTATTCAATTATTTAATTAATGTTAAATTTATGCCCGTTTTTTTAATTTGAAATATTGGATTTGAAATATACTTTACTCTAGCAAGAGTATTGTTAGAAAAACGATTATAATAAGGATCGATAATTGAAGAATTGTAACGAAATTTATAGTTTCATCCTCTTTACTTTAATTTTTATTTGTGATAATAAATGATTCCATAAAAATTTATCGTCAGAATAGTTTCGTGTTCATCAAGAGATTAATAATCATTAATTATAATAATTAGGATATTAATTGTGTTACCATATTAATCATAATCGCGATTAGAAAAGAAACGCGAAGCGTTTGGCGTTATTACTTTAACTCTTCGAGTATCTTCGTACGGATGACAGCGAGACCATAATATGTAAACAATAACGCGTTATTGTTATAAGTTACCAAGGCTGAATATATTAGTGGCAATTCGGTGCCGAAATATTCAACGTATTATAAAATATCTACGGGAAATATTAAATTATAAAAGAATTTTAATTTATAGATTATTTAATTGATTATTTATAAAGCAATTAATTCATTAATTCATTATTTTGAAAATAATATATAAATATGATAAATAATTTTTTGAATTACTTTTAATTTCTGAAACAGGAGTATTCTTAAAACATTCGATCTATTAATAGTCCATCAATTAATATTACGATTAGAATAAGAAAGAAAAATGTCGAAACATTAAAGCATGGAAACGTTCACAATAAATATAATAAGAAATATTTTTATATAAATACAATTTTTACATATATAGTAATTTAAATTAAAATAACACTTTTTTATAAAAATATAATAAACCTAAAAAATTTTGTACATATGAGTTTATACTTTTCGAATCAGATATATTATTCATTAATAAATAAAAGCTTTGCAAACAAGCAGTAAAGGGAATAAACTCCATAATTTAATTTTTTCTGCATTATTTTGATACCATTCGGCGAACAATGCTGAAACAAAATGAAAAATTCCTATTTTTACAAGGTACACTTTGCGCTTTTCTTGAATGGTATATTCAAGTATCATTAGATAAGTATTAATTTGATCGAACCTCTGTCATCGTGATTCGTGATCCAGCCGATCACAGGCTGCATTTTATTTTGTCGTTTTAACCACGCATTTAAAGGCTCAAAATATTTGAGCATGGCACCAGCGTCTATTCTATTTGCTCTACCTCTTGTCATTTGCCTGATAACATCTTGCCATGATCTAGAAGATCCTATTGATAGAACATCTCTGTAAATATAGAAACATAGTTTTAGTGTTAAAATATTTATTTCCAATAAAAATACTTTAATTGAAGTATTAAAAAAATTAATTGAAGCACTTTTGTAAACTTCACTTACGATAATAATCGACCTGCTTCCCGGGATCTGTAAATATCACAGGTATGCAACTCGCCTGTGTGACCAGAAATCTCACACAGTGACTGGAACAATTGAAATTGTAAGGCAATGCTTACAAAATATCTAAAAATATAAAAGATATATTTTTCTCTAAATATTAATTGCAATATAACAATAAACATTTATTATATATCTACTTGACGTAAAGACTGTCCGCTGGGATATGATACTTTGCTGCCGGATCGAAATTCCTTTCGGATCTAGGCATAGGTGGAACAATACCCTGATATTGCAATTTTAATTCCCACCAACGTGCTGTCATATCTTCCACACCATCGCTAAAAATGTGCCATCTCCACTTGAAAAAAAATAAATGCATACAATTTATATATGATTATATATGAATTTTAAGTTACTTCTTTCTATATGATAAAAAAACATTTCTTGCTTAAAATATTGTCATAAAAAACTTACGTAAACATAGAAAATAATCGTTATACATATGCAGATTATGCATTAAATCTAATTATATATTTAGTATTGCTATTAATTACCTGATCAACTATATAAGCAAACGGCATATAAGCCACTTTACGAAGAGCCATTAGCATCAAAAAATTTATACTGCTATCATAATCATCTGTTAAATTCTTGTACAATCCGATTTTATGTAAATGCTGTGGAGTAAAAACAGATAAACCAATCGCATCGCTAACAGCTTCGTAGAATCCTGATTAAAAACAACTATAATTAGAATATAATATCAAGTTTCACAATATGTGTGAAAAAAAATATACCCGGCATTGCCTCGTTTCGGAATAATAATGGATGATCTTTATATTGCAAATAATATTGCAAATGTGTCATTTCGTAATGAGTCGATAACAAATCTTCCATTGTATCTCTGGTACATTGTTTTATTCTGCAATTACATAAGAAGTACAATTTTAAAAAAATTGCTAACTTCTTCATTTAATATAATATACACATGTAATATACATATATGCATGTATATTATATATATATATATATATATATATATATATACATATTATATGTTACATAAACACACATAAAGCTAACTCAAAATTGAATAAAAAATTAGCTTATGATAGAGAAAATTTGGAGCAATAACAAAAAAGAGACCTGTAATCGATTTTGTTACAAAAGTCCCACGCACTGGGAGTGCATTTAACTTCTCTGTCAATGGGCTTTTCAAATATAGAAAATTTCCAAAATTCCGGCGGCATCGGTTTCATTCCAAGTGAAGTGAAAAACTCCTCCGCTATTTGGAACATCCTTTTTACCATAAAAACATTCTCTCATAACATTGTTCATTTTGCTTATACAAGGGAGTATGTATCGTGCGCTTCAAGAATATAGTACCTCATTGGAGTGATACTCTGAATCATTATATCCACAGTCACATCGAGTTTTCTGCTCGCAGGAAAAGGTTGGACCAAATCGAACAGAGCTTCCCAATTTTGAGCCCACATATTTCCCAAAACATGCGCCGGTAAAGGTCCGTCCTCTCGTATCCGGTTGCCGTATCTTTCAATCAATTTTGATCGCACGTAAGTAAAAAGATTCTTGTATAGCGGAGAGATGGCTGACATCACTTCTGCTATATTTTGCTGAAAATATTCATCTTCGAACAACTCCCTCATCTGATCGCCAGCATCAGCAAAACCTAGAAAAACAAATTTCCGTGAACTACAAATATATTCTTACAGAAAGTAATGTCTTATATATACGATCAAGCTACATTTTTGTAATCCAAGTCTGTTACCATTTAATTTAGCTGCTCGATTAGCTAATTGGACATATCTCAAATATTTATTTTGAAGTTGTGGACCAGTTGCTTCATGCCAAGCATGCCAATAATACAATAATTCGTCATAGTCTTTTGATTGTGCCATTATTTTATTAATATCTAAAAATAAATATAAAAGTTATATCTATATTATATTATGTATATTTATCTCTCTGTAACACTTTGAACTGAAGGACAAACCGTAATCTAGAGTCAAATTACATTCTCCATTCAATTCAATCTGTTTGTACGGACAAACTCTGGCTTTAATATAAATCTCTTTCATCTCTGTTATTAAATGGTGTATCTGGAAATAGACATCATAATAATGCATAAATAGACATTATAATAATGCATAAATGCGATTATATGAATAGAATCGCAAAAATATTCATTTAACTTAACCTTTTAACAGCAATTTAAATAAATTATATTAATTATATTAAATTATATTAAACATTTAAATAAATTTATATCAATTATAAACAGTTAAAGATAACATTTTTTTATATTTCAAGATATTTATTTACCTCATTAAATTTATCATCTGTCAAGGAATTCCGACCTTTTGTAACAATCATTTTAAGTTCCCTTCTTGCTAAAGGATCCGGTATTCGACTCCAAGCAAAAGTGATTGCTTTCCGCCAGGAAGCTCTTTCAAATTTTAATTTTAATGTTTGTTCGTCTATCTAATAAAAATTATATATAAATATTATAAAATACTTGTAAATTATTTCATTAATTATTAATATGTGCTGTTATTTATCACTTTAAAATTAAAAAAATCTGTTACACCATTCTCTGACGATTTGCATCGGTAACGTTTGTCGCAAAATTCCACTGGGCCATTGTCACTCTCGTGCACATTAATGAAGCTGCACTATCATATTCTCTCAAAAATAAAAGAGCATCTCCTAAGTTTACATTGAGACCCTTTAAGATACATAAAAAGGAGGAAAGAATATTTAGGAATAAAATATAATATTTGAATATAATGTGCTATAATTGCTTAAATTTAATAGTGTTATTTAAATGTGTGTATTATCTATTTATTTATAAATAATTAAAGAAAATATGTACCCTCTTGACATAATATAATTGAGGACAATTATGAATAAATGTATATTTCCAGTAACCTACATATTAACCATATAGTGTAGCATAAAACGGCAATTACAATTGTAAATGTATAAGTTAATTGATGTGTTTTGGAAAACAATAGCTATGATTTTCCGAGCGTGACGGGAGATATAATTTTAAAAGATTGTAATCAATTCGGAACCTTACCTCCAGATATTTTCCATTTGCTTCGCTTCGTAATACAATAACCCAGAAAACAATGAAATTACAAATTCCCACTGTCACCATTCTTGATTGCAAGTTTATCGCTGCATTAACAAGTGACATAATGAGCTTTGTCGTATACGCGTTAAAATGTCTTTCATTCTCAAGAAGAATCTTGATCACAATGCAAACAAATAAATACAATGATGACTTAACAATGCGTGCATAAACAATTATATTTTTAAATCGTATGTGTTATATCGTTTTCCTGGTGAAGACTAAATCATAATTCAAATCTAAGTCGGATAATGTCAAGTTAAAAATTTGAACGAAATAGAATTATCATGAATGATATCCCATATATAAATCGACAATATTCTTTAAATTTGTATACTTTAAAACTATTGATCACGTCGTCATCACTCGGCAACTGATTGAAGAACCAGCGGCTCGATGTCGTCGCGACAAAACTGAATCATGGCAGAAAAAGAGACGGGTCTTTCCGGGACGGATATTCCACGGGCGAAAAGAGGAAGGGACAGGCACTATCGGTGCGTGAAGCGTAACCACCCAACGCATCGTGGCACACGCCAAAATCTTCCTACGTCGGCTTTAATTTCGCAATTGCTCGATTAAATGTTTCGCAATGGTTAATTCATAAAAATCTTCGGTATTTTATTTTTATAATCTCATATTTATTATATCGAAGCGAAACAATGTTTCTTGCATTTTCCTTCATTAAACTGCATAACTGTGTCTTGTTGAAAAGAATTATATTTTATATATAAAATAAGTTTGTGCACTTTATTATTTTTCTAAATATTAATTAAAAAATGGTTTTATTAAAACGATGCATTTTATACGCAGAAAAGTATATAGCCGAACTTTTTCTTCATCCTGTAGACGAATACCGTAACTTTAATTATCCGGTGATGTAACGAGCACGATCATACGATAGATACTGTACAAGATTGTCTCTTATGCTTTAAGTAATATCAAATCTGATGCTTTGTTACTCTTAATAAATAATATAATATAATATATTAAGAATAATCAAATCTATACATTTTATTTATAATTTTATTAAGAATAATCAAATCTATAAATATTCTATATTTATGCACTAATATTTTGAATCAATTTTATTTTTATAATAAAAGAGTGAAACGATATATATTTTAAATTTATTCCTACATAATTCCAGCTCCAAATGTATAAATATAATTTTAGCATATTTACAGTATAACTTCAACTATTAAATGGGGTTGAGAAATATATCTTTTCAATGCAAACTCGCGAAACAAGTTACGATTCGCTGCTTATAAGTATCTATCCAAAACAACACATATTTCCTACAACGGTAAATCTATTTTCTACGGTAAGAAAACAGAGATACATTGTATCTTCATGATTTCACATAATTATGTTCGCTATTACATACAATATTGTGGATATTTTGATCCTCTTGAAATATAAAAGAATAGAAGAATCAAAAATTGTCAAAATGTTTATGTCAAATAAGATAACATAATTTTATATATTCTTTCTAAATTTTATATATTCTTAATAAGTACATATAATATTGCCGTGAAATCTTGAGTACATCTTGTAGTTATTATCTGTTAGAATTGAATTTTATTCGTTGAATATTTCTTTGCCTGCTTAATTGTTTGTGAATTTTACGTAATTCTTGGAGTTCTATACGTATTTTAATGAAATCTATGACATCAGGAACCTGCAATATAAAATCTTTTATGAAATAAGTAATTTTATAAGTTTATAAGTACATATATGTATACTTTCAACTTTTTAAGCCTTTAATATCTTATCGCGAAAAAATAAAACAATTGTAAGGAAAAATTATTTGTCAAAAATAAGTTTCCAATATGATAAAATATAAAAATATTACATCAAAGTCATCCATTAATGCCATCACTGATTGAAGCTGTTTTTCCGCTTTCTTTATTTCAACCTGCATAGCTACTTTTTCCGATTGCAGTTTCACGATTTCCTGTTTTTTAAAAGCAATTTTACTTCTTATATCATTCACGATAGACATCAGGCTATTTAATTTTTCCTTGTGTTTAGTCAGTGCAATGCTATGGCGACCTGTATCAAATGCAACGATTTATCTTTTTGCGAAAAAATCACAAAGAATCTTTTCCTTACCCACGATCTTTTTCATTTCGAGCAGATATCGATTTTTCTTGTCGATTTCTCGTATGCAAACTTGATTCTCTATATTCAATTGTTCGAAATCTACAGGGCGTAGAGCCTCGCCGAGTTCTTTCCTGTGCTGCAACTGCAACTTGACTTTCCTTATCTGAGACTTTATGGTAGTCATCTTCAATCTAATTTGTTCTATTGTGGAATCGATTGTTTTCAGCCATTCTTCTATAAACCTACACATCAAACTCGAATCTTCTGTCGATTTAATATGCTTACACATAATGATCAATAATGTATAATTGAGACGTTTATTACATAATACCTGATAAATTTTTCAGCCGGTATTTTTCCCGTAATGCTATCTATACCCTTCTCTATAACTTTCTCTTCAAATTCCTCCCTAGTTTTACAAGTTTCGCGAATGCTCATCTCATTTTCTTCTATTTGTGCTCGCATATATTTTATTTTCTTCGTCGACATTTGTTCGAGTTTTATTAATTCTTTCTGCAATTCCCGAATTTCAGTGTTCACCATTTCGATGCGACACGCATACGTGATTCTACGATTCGACAATTGACCGAAATATTCTATATAATCAAAGCCAGTAACAAAAGTTATGACACTCGACGACTAACTTTGTTCCTACTCTTGGCGTTCTGCTTGTTAAGAGGCTTGGCGTGACGCGCTGACTTCCGGATTGGATGCTGACGACACTTTCTGTGTCTCCGTCACGAACATTCATAAAACTTCCGCTTACACTCATAACGGGTGACACGTGGCTATGAGATTGAGGCGCAATTTTTTGCACGCGTTTAGCGGTTTCTAAGATTTGCGCTATTGCTGAATAAAGTAAATAATAAAAGCGTTAAAATAATCAAATTAAGATTAATATTTTTGTGAGAACATCAATCTAAGTAATTTAAAAAAATAAATATAAATTAAGAAAATTACTTTGAAGATTTTCAGGATCTCGACGTGCGAGATATCGTTCGAAAACATCATTTTCTAACTTTAACAAGAGATTTGAACGAGCAATATTTTCGAGTGTCTGTTGTAATTCTGTTTCTGTCATATCTAAAAGGCGAATTAATTTTTTTATGATTTTTAAGAATATAATTAAATCATACAAATATAATAATAATTACATAACTTTACATCGATACAATTATTATATAGATTTCTCTTTACCTTCATAATAACACAAATCTTCTTGTTTAGAGGTTAACATAAGACTTCCGATACTAAAGGTACTTTTTCGTTGACGCGCCATTTTTATTCTCCAAAAATTTAATGTTCTTCAACAGACTATTTAAAATTTTACACTCTACAGAGAATATATAATATTATACACAATATAATACGTGTATTTAAATTATTTCGTATTTCACATTTTCAATTTTTACATGTCATCTGAGCAAGGATATGCATTCTTTCCAGCTATTTTCAAGTAATTCTCAAAGTATTTTTAAGCGAGCCAAAGTAAATAAATTCACATCATATTGTGTGTGTGTGCATTCAATAATTTTATTACATTTATCATAGTTTTAAAAATATACACAAAATTGCATGGCATATTTAATTGATATTGATCAAATTGAACATTCCATAAGAACAGCTTTATGAAAAATATGTCACATTTGTGTAATTATTTAATAATACATATAATTTATAACTAATAATAATGTAAAATATTCAATGTATCATCAATTAATGTTAAATATAAAATTCGAGTTACAAATAGATTGAAATACACTTTAATTAGGATAATTCTTCCAATAGAACTTCTTGCTGTATTTCAACATTATCAATGTATAAACTGTATGCTATACCAATCTCTTTTTGTTCTGAACTGTATGATCTAATCGCGGCTTGTAAATCTCCAACGGAGAAAAGAATCTCTGCACCACCATCCATAAATTCGTTCTATGTACAAAATGTTATCCAATTTATAATTTTTGATATAGTATAATTAAAATATGTTTAAAATGCAATATAAAGTACAAAATATGTCTAAAATACAATATAAAGTACAATATAATAAAATTTTATTATAAAGTTTATTATAAAGTTTAAATAATAATATAATATAATTAATAAAAATTTTATATTTACCTCAACTTCCACCTCTTGTCCATTTACCCAAACACTATGAGCTTGTTTATCTATAAATGCCACAAAGAGGAATTAAGTATTTAAAAAAAGAATATATATATATATATATATATATATATATATATATATATATATATTGTTTTATTATAATTACCTAACACAATTCTATATTCTTCGTTCCCAACTTTAGCTAACCAAGTCTCTAATATCTTTGTTTGTGATTGAACAAATTGCTTGTAACTCTTTCCGTTCACCCACAACGAGTAAGCATATTTCAGACCTATTTAAATAATTGTCATGATAAAATATTTATCAAAATAACAAAACATTAATCAAAGATTCATAAAACAATGAGATTCTACCTGGCATTGGATCAACTCTAATCACGAACTTGGTGTTATTGAACATAAAGACTTCGTCACCAACCAGACGAAACATCCAATCTCTGTGAACTATTTGTTCGCCATCGACTTTTACTATACGTCGGCCTGTTGCTGTACCATGTTCAAATTCTACTACATGATTCCCATCGCTCAAAGGAACAGTCCACTTGGCAGTAGGTTCATTTGCCGAACTTTCCAAATTATGTAAACTTCTGAAGAAATAAAAAAAAATAAAAGTAATATAAAAAAGTATAAAAAAGTATAAAAAATAAAACACAGAAATAATATTAAGAAAATAATGTAATATATTGCAGAGCTTTTTTATATGAAACTTAATTAATACACAACGAAATTATATTATAACTTTCAATTTATTTTCTTAAAATAGATTAGATAATAATGGGCAAACACGAACATGTGTGCATATTAAAAAATAATAATACATCCCTTGTAATATTCTTCCATCTCTTTAATGAAACTAATTTTGATCTATACTTATAAATTCTTTTTAGCCAACAGTAGGCAGCCCACTTGATTGTCAAGCATATTGATTGCCTACTGTTGGCTATGAAGGCATTAATCAAAATTAATTTTATTAAAGATATGAAGATTTATGTATTCGCTTTTATTGTATTAAAATTATATTATTAAATAAATAATCCATATAGCAATCAATATATCAATTTTGAAACTTTTAATTTGACAATAATTGAACATATTAAAAACGTAATAAAAAATGCACACAACGTGCATATATAAATATTTAAATACGCAATACAATTAAAAAAATAATTTTTATATATAATATTGCATATAACATTAATATATAATATTTATGATGTAATAAAATAATAATTTATGATATGATAATTAAATTAATATTATATTTTTTAGTGTTGTAAGGAAACCATTACTATCCAGAAATGCAAGTTCAACTTACACAAATACATCTTGACATTACACTTGACACAATTCATATTTGTAGAGGTAAAATAACTACGATAATAACTACGTAGTACTAATTAGTAACTATGGTAATGTGATTAAATAATTCATATGCGTTGAGCAATCTTTTACAAATATTTTCCAAATATAATTTGACTCACCGAAGTAGAACACCTGCCATTTCTTCTGACTACACCTGTACTGGCGTCCTTATTGATCGCCCTTACTATGACCATTCTCTCGATCAATAATCAAATTATGTGTTTTACGTTATATCACACAATACTATTCATTTAAGCGCGTTGTAGTAAATGCCGTTTAGTTTTAAATATAAGTCATTTTATATACATCACAAAACAACATAAATTATTATAATTATAGTAATAAATATATAATAACTTAGCAATAAATAATTATTTTATAAGAATAATTAACTTTTTAGAGTAATAAATAATGCAATAAAAATACATAATTTACATCTCCATTACAGAATTTTAATAGAGAACATATTATTTTTAATTTGCAAATACATTAATATGCAAATTCATAATATATATAAAATTGCATTTTATTAAATATTTATTCTTGTACAATTTTAATCTACACATTAATTTTTTTCAAATCTCGCCCATAAAAAATTATAACAAAAGTATATAAGTAGTAAAAAATTACGTACTAAATTACGTACTCAATTGCAAATATAAGATATAAGAAAAAACAAAATATGTGTAAACTTTGTTTTATATATCAAGTTCACTCGGCGGTAATAATTTACCCGCACATGATCCGAAACCAATTTTATAGCCCTCGCCGACGCAGAAACCTTAAAAACAATATCTTTAAAAATCACGATTTATAATTGTAAATTTATAATAAATAATTTATTTTTCTTACCACGAAGTATTACTTCATCACCATCTTGAAGGAATTTTCTTACGGTACCATCTTTTAATACAATGTTACGTGTGCCTTTCCAAGATAATTCTAACAGACAACCGAGAGAGTCCGAAGTCTACAAAAAATGAATATCACATTAAATAAATATCCTATTATCAAAATTGCATAATAAAATCATAATTTGCATCTTGTAGGAAAAACAAATATAGGATCTTATAAAAATACAAATGTACAAAAAATATGACTTAGTATTAAATAATAATTAAATTAAATAATATCTCCTAAAAACAGCGAAATTTTAAACGCACTTCTCCACTTATAGTGCCAGAGCCCATTAAATCACCAGGATTAATGTTACATCCAGTCACAGTATGATGCGCTAATTGCTGTCGCGGAGTCCAGTACATATATTTGAAATTACTTCGGCATATAGTCGTGACCATGTTACCTGAAGCTACAAAAAACAAGTTGGTAAGTTATAAGCAACTAATATAAAAAATAACGTAAAAAAGAATAGTAAGTGTAAATCACTTACAAAAAACTTATAAGTAAATATTAACTCACTTTTTATGTCAACTTCTAATTTAATGTCAAAATTACAGGATTCGTCATGTTGCAAATACGGAAATGGTGTTGGATCCTGAATCATATTGGGTACCTTAAAAGGTTCTAGAGCTTCCATTGTAACTATCCATGGAGAAATGGAAGTTCCTAAATTTTTTGAACCGAATGGACCTAACGGCACATATTCCCATTTTTGGATATCACGTGCTACAAAAAAAATGAAATAATTAAAATAAATATTTTTTTATAACAATAATGATATATATATTTTAAACCATTTTAAAACTTGCAAGATATTAATTAATTATAATATTCTGTTTAATTATATTTAATCATACCACTCCAATCATTCATTAAAACCATTCCAAAGATATGATCGTAAGCCTTCGAAGCTGGGATGATATCACCGAGATTTGTAGGTGGTCCACCAACAAAAGTACCCATTTCAAGCTCAAAATCCATTAATCTACTGGAGCCAAAGACTGGCGCTGCGTTCTCAACTGGAAGTGTTTGACCATGTGGTCGTCTTATATCCGTTCCCGACACGACGATGGAACTTGCTCTACCATGATAAGCGACTGGCAAATATTTCCTATAATCATATTATTTTATAGATATTTTTTAAGTAATCCGCATACAATAATACATTTAAAAAATTACCAATTCGGCATCAATGGATTTTCCTTGCCACGAAACATGATGCCGACATTTGTAGCATGATTAAGAGATGAGTAAAAATCAGTGTAATCGCCAATCTTTGCTGGTAAGTGCATTATCGCATCCTTCTGTGTAACAAAAATTCTAAAAAAAGAAATTTTAAAAGATTATTAAAAAATCCTTACAATATTATATTTATAACAGTATATTTAAATATTAATGTTCATTTATTTGTTTCTCACTTTGAGCGGATTTCCGGATCTTGCAAGGTATGATTGCTGGCAGAAAGCAGTTCTTGAAGTTTCAATCTTGCTTCTAGCCATGCTGGTCTTCCAAGAGACATGAAATCATTTAGATAATCACGGCGGAATACATCCTGTTTATTCTTTAACAATGGTCCATCGAAATAATTCGCGATAGCACTCAAGTCCAAAATTTCATCACCGATTGCTACGCCTATTCTTTTTTCTGGCTAAAATATTTTATACAAATATTCATTTATATTTATATTACATTTATTATTATCTATATTATAATATATATATTAATAAATATAAATAAAATTAATACGAGTCTCATATTTTAATTTAATAAATTTGGCAATTTTTTACTTTATTAGCGAAAATTTAGACAAAATATATTGAATTATCGAATGATAGTAATGTACCAGTCGATGGTATCACTTATTAGAAAAAACTAAATGAAACTGCTTATATAATAAGATATTGGTAATAGATAAGTGGTAATCTATAAAGTAACGTAGGTAAATAAAAATCTAAAAATATAATTCATTAATATTCTTAATCATATAATTTTTTAACATTCTTAAAATATTTTATAAAAAAATATATATACATAAACAAAATATATTACACAAAATATTACATTTTACCTGGATATAACTTATGATTCTCTAAGTTACGTAAACCCACATTACAGCACAAGATATTCTATGAACATTCTAGAATATTTTATTTATTTTTTCCTAGAATATTTGAATATTTTACGAATGTCTCCTAGAATGTTTATGGAATATCTTGTGCTGTATGGGAATTAGATATGTCGATATATCTATCTATATACAATTATTTTGAGATTAAATTATGGCATAATATCTATGTTTGCGATGTATTTTGTCTTACTCACCTTATTTTTAGTAGAAAATATTCCGTATGGCAAATTCTCGATCGGAAAATCACAATCTGCCGAATACTTCACAAAGGATTTCATGATTACTGCTGTTATCCGAACGATTATCTCCGTCGACTGGCGTCCCACGAGTTGCGACGATAGTATTCGTCCGCTATCTCACCAAGGTCTGACCGACAAGTTAATATATACACCTGTTTACGATTCTCGACGCCGAGCCGAGCCTCTGGTTTAACTAGTTTCATATATTAATGCAATTAAAATGGTTCTTTATTTAGCTCTGTTTTCTTTGCTGTTATCTTGCTTTGAATGTTGATCATTTAAACTCGCCAGATAACAGTGAAATGATTATTGTTACGTACTATATCATAATTCATTATCAATTTTATTTCTATTTTATTTCCAATTTTATTTCTAATTTTTTCTATTGAAAAAAATCTTTGATGATAAATCTTTGATGATAAATCTTTTAATAGAATAAATCTTTTAACAGAATAAATCTTTTAATAGAAACATTACATTTAATTTTTAAAATAAAAATTGTATGATCCAAGATTTATTCCATCTCCATCTCTTACGTAATAAATCTAAAAAAATCTAAAAAAAGCATTAATAACAAAATGCATACAAATTATAAAAACATGTTAGTACATTATGACTATTTGAGGTAACAGCGCTTTATTAGACATTGATATACAGTGGATAATAAGGGTAATTAGGTGAGTAGGTGGTATTCGAACAACATGATTACGTGTCAGCATACAATCATCCTTATCTCATCGCCGCATATTTTCTCGACTTTCACTTCTCATTCATGTATCAACGAATTTTACTCACACGCATATACATATATGTTTTCTCTATGTGTGCATTTATAAATGTATTTCTCATTAGTTACAGTATACAAGGACAGCTTTCTCCTCGAAGATGTTTCGAGGCTTTTTCGCTAAACACTAATCGATACTCTCATCGTTTGGAAGACTTGGGACTTTGTTGTTGCTTACCTTGCTTCGTTACCAACTTAGACTAATAATAAAGATTAATAATTAACGAGAATGAGATCAAGGATTTTCAAGGTGGACGCTATAAATTGTCAATAAAGGAAATAGTAATTGTATTAGTGACTCGAGAAGATGATTTCCTATTTCATTAACATAATCGAAGAGATTTATTCGATTACATATATACGTATTTCTCGTCGATGTAGACTATCGAAGAACGTAATAAATGTACTGATAAATGTTATTAACATAATGTGTTTAATATAATATAAGATAATAAGATGTCTAAATTTTAATATGATGTCTAAAATTTAATGTGCAACACGATGTGATAAATAATGTTTGCAATAATGTTATAAATAATAGATAAAATACATAAGCGATGGTGCATAATAAGAATGCATTATACAGAAATGTAATTTGTGCAGTGCATTTTCGGAAATGTGCATGATACTTAGTAATGTATACATAATCGATTAGAATTAAATATAAAATTTATAAATCATATCACTTCATATTAGAAAATTTTATATTTAATTCCATTTCTTTTATTTAATTTAATAATAAGTAAAGTATTCATACGCATTAAAGTAGTACTTTATATACAAACTTTTATAATATGGTTCACTAATTATCTACAAAAAAATTTGCATAACAGTTCTAAAAATTGTAATTATATAAATATTATATAATTTCTAATAAGTCGCTACATTTTTTAAAATATTAATGCTATGTTAATTCTATTACTAAGATTCGTCATGTTGGCCGCATATATGTAAAGATTCTTTACATTCTGAAGGAAAAAATATGCGGCATTGAACATCTCAATATATCTTTTAATTACATGCAAATTAAATAATCGGGAGTCTACAGGGACGAGTATACTCTTTCCATATAAATATATCACTCTTTCCTTTAAAAAACCATCATTTTACACAGGAATTAGTAAGATGTGTATAATCACGAGAGAGATTCGTTTATGAATAGCACTGATCGCTATGTCGGCAGTGCCAACGACTATGACTAAAAAAACTCGCAACGCCGATAGAATTATGAATAATAATTAACAACGGTTCGATAAAATGCCTCTTTGCAGGTATCGGTTTGCTGGTCAGATGAATTGTTTAATTCATTTTCCTTTCGAAAAATACATTTTGTCTCCCCTTTGGCGCATATAGTGATTACAAATAAATTATTTTTGAACTCTGAATCAATAAATACTATTTGTTCTTGTAAATAATATTTCAAATTGGTATTTACGATATAAACTGGAAATCGTTGAAAAGCTATAAAATATTTGATATTTTTTCCACGCGATTACGTAACAATATTATGATTTTTAAAAATGTGTGTCTCTTTGTTTTTTCAAACAAATAAGAATAAAAGTTGTCATTGTAGTTTTTCATGTAAAAATATGAATAAAAATAAATATATTTTAAGAAGAATACGATATTCAAAAAAGTATGAATATTTAATATTTTAAAGATATTACTTTCTCCTTAATAAATTATCTTTTCGTTTCTAATTTCTAGTTTTATTTGCCTCATTGATGCAGAGTTCAGCATATAACGTGCTCTATGTTTTATACATTACATACGTTTCATAGAATTGACATTGCCTGCTATAATCCGTCAGCCAAGCGCAGTCATTTAAATACGTACAATAAACATCTTTGGCATTAAATTACAAGATATATCGATATTCTCTACTTCGATTAATCTCCTCATTAATTTCCTGGCACTAATTGCGGCACCTCTTCTAAATGTATTCCTCTAAATATGACTTAAGCTATTGTCACGACGGCATGGCAGTCGTCGACGGAAAAGAAACGCGCGATGAGTGCACCGAAGATGTACATAAATACACTCATATTTCTTTGTATACACCTAGGTATTTTATGTTATTTAGTATTTTTTTTTTGTTATTTCGTATTGGCGAGTTGAGTGAGTTGAAATCTATAGAGTCGTTCGGTTGTGTCGTCGAACAGATTGAAATGTTTGTCATCATAGTGAGAAATTTACTGTATTTAGTAATACACATATGTTACGTATATATATATAAAATTACTGAAATAAACTGAGCACAAACGTAAGATAAAATGCATTAATCAACAATCAAAATTAGATCAGAAAATTATTTACAAGACATACTTTACCTTTTCTACATAATTATTACGAGATCTTTGATACTGAAAATTACGTTAATTCATTGTGACAAATCACTAATATAATCATTAACTACAATGTATTGATGAAAAATAAATAAAATTTTAATAGCATCGACGAATCAAGTGACAACCGTTCGCATCAATATTTGAAAAAGCATGTACTTTCATGGGTTTTTTGTGTTTTGTATTCTTAAAATCTCAACACTAAATATATATAATATATAATGCTTCATTGTGTATATATATATATATATATATATATATATATGTATATATATATATGTGTGTATATATATATATGTATATATATGTATATATATGTATATATATGTATATATATGTATATATATATATATATATATATATATATATTAAATATTCTTCGTTCGATTAAAACTGTTTAACAGTAAATTAATATACATATATTTTTGTGTATATATATAATAGATGCAGTCCATCTCATGTGTCAACGTTATCTTTGCAAACAATCGATAAATTATAAATTCAATACTTCAACAGAGAATAATGCACAGCATTAAATCTATTTTCTGTAATGGAAAGAACAATGTCAATTTATGTTATGCATCTATAGCATCACGGTGATAGAAAATTTCTATTCCGAAGCTATTCGATGACAATTTGTTGCAATGCATACAACAGAGACAGAATAACGCTTAGAATCAGAAAGTTGCTTTCTTACAAGTTACGTTTTAGACATATTTTTACACTACTCGAAAATAGCGTTGCCTTCGTTCCAATGCGTTATGGAAAAATCACAAAAATTCTGATTAAATTGCAATAAATATTTTCATTTGAATTTGTGGAGAATCTCTTGTTTAGTATATAAATTTAATTTACTTTCACACAATTTATTTTTAAATAAAAACTTTAAATAATTTAAATTTCGTAATTAAAATTATAAAGATTCACAGAGATAGTTTATCAATAGACAAGAAGAAGGATTAAGAAAAGTTAAAAATGTTTAAAATATAAATGATTTATATAATCTTATCTAATAAACTATATAAAATCGCTAACAAATTGAATATATATATTTAATTTAATATATTTATAAATATATATGTAATTATTTACATAAATATCGCGATATCTATATAAATATTTCAAAATTAACTAAATAAAGATTTTATTCAAAATTAGTATATTTATAAAAATAATTAGTATAAATTCTAAAGAACATTCTTTCGCAATCCATATTTCAAGATAAAAGATTTTATCCGAATATTTTGGAAAGCGAATATGTATATATTAATATTGCTTTGATTAAGAGAGATTGATAGTTTTATAACACGCATGTATATTATCATGCATCGAGTAGTGAAAAATAACAAATCTGCATAATTTACGGCCGGAAGCATCTTTAACTCTGTAACTTTGTCCTTCGTTTCTCGGAGATATGCTGTGTATTTCGTTTAAATCTAGAAAACTTATGTACTACTAATATACTATATCTCTTTCTCTCTTTCTCTCTTCTCTTTCGACATTTAGATTTCACTGCGAACTGGTCGCAGGATAAAGAAGCATTTAACTACACATTGACTTTTCATTAAAATTATCATCTTTTTCATCCAATGAAAAAAAAAAGACTCATGTTAAATTAAATTATTTCTCTGTTCATTAATGATTATATCCATATATATATATATGTATATATCGATTGATTCATAGTGTTATGAAACGCGATGAAAAAACAAAATTTTTATCTAATCTTTTTTATTTCAATTTAAAATTTAAACAAAATTAATTAATCGGTATCGTTGCTACTAGTATTTAAAGAATAATATTAACGTGTCTCAACGAAAAAGTTAATTAAACAAAATAAATGATATACATTACTAAAAAAATAATGTAAATTCTCAAAAAATTACAACAATAAAATCAAGATTATCGTTTATCGATTATCGAAATCAAACATACCTTCGCATATTTTACATTTCATACTGATGATTTTGAATTTTGATCTGAGCTTCAAATTCATCGCATACATATCTTTTCTAAATATGTTGCGAAGAATATGTTAAGATAAATTGTGCGACAAAAACGATTGTCGCCAATGTTAAAACGCTCAATCGTTTAACCACTGCATATTGTATGATTAATGCCTATGTGTGGACAGATTTCTTACAAGTCATGACCCAATCGATCCATCTCGGCCAAGAGGAAATCGATGTCAGCTTCCGTTACGGCGGCACTGGAGATAATATTCCTGAAGAAGTTGGGCCGCCGATCGTCCGGCTGATAACCAACCATCAGTGTACCAGCTTGCATCATGCGGCCCTTCAAAATTGGACAAATCTAAAAGCACATAAATAGATTTCTTCAATTCCCATATTTTTTTGAAAAAAAGATCGGAAAATTGTCAATTTATTATTAAAAAATCTAGAGCTAGATCTTTAGATGTGTCAGATATTGCTTATATTTCTATAAAATATCTTTAATTCATCAAACGCACCTCGCCTAAAATTTTTATTCTCTCCGCGGTATGTGGCATGTTTCGCACGCGCGTGGGCAGGTACCAAAAACAGACGTTCACCAATTCAGGCTCGAGAATCAGATAATATTTGTCGGGCATTTGTTTAATTCTTTTAACCATATACTCCGTCAGTTCCATCAACCGATCCATGTGTTTCTCGAAACCTTCTGTGCCCTGATATATAAGATAATAAAATATTAAATTTATCCCAGTAAAAATTGATAAATCACCGTAGAATAATGCTGCTTATAATGTTCCTCGAGAGAGGAACAGAGTCGATGAATAACGAGGAAACATAAAGGCAGCTCTCTAACAATGTAATGGATTTTGTACCTTGGCGCGCCATTGCAACCAAAGCTTGAAAATGTCATTGTGACGTCCGCATTGAATGACCTTATCGCCAGTGTCGTACCTCACGTCGTATAACTTGTCTGTCATAAACAGGTATTCCGCGGACATTTGGTTACAGCTGATCAGTAGCCCCTGCAAAGTGAAAACAGCTCTCGCTTTCAAAATCGGTGAGAGACGGTTGCGTATAATATTTTTCCGATAACAGAACGCTTCCAGAATTGTCTCGCGGTTTCCGATTGACAGGCCGTTGGAAGGAGGAGGAAGAGGGTGAGTCTGTCTGGGTCGATACGACATTTCAACACATGCGCACGAGGGAGAAAATTCAGGATATTGAATTTACAAAATGGCGGATATGCCACACTGATGTTGCGCTCTATTATTAGAGACCATTGTTTTCAAGTTTTAAGATTATCTTTTTTAAAATTTATTTCTTCAGACTTTAATATTTATAAATTTCTGCATCATACAGGAAAAGAACACGTAACATCGATTTTGATAACGCTGATGAATATTCCATTTTAAACTGAAAAAAATTCTGTACGATTTAATTACCATTTATGTATTTTCACTATTATTATTATTTTTAATATTAATATTTGACAAATTGTAAGAGTTGGATATTTAATTACATATTATATGTAGCCAATAAATTAAAAATAGATTAGTATTTTTTCATAATTCTCAATTTGTAAATGTGTATTTAAAAAACAATACGATTGTCAATGTTAATGAAAACGTGGACAGCACTCTTCAACGTCAACAACAACGCGGCCTGACAAAAGCATGGCGCAGTCTCCCCCGGATATCTCGCGGCAGCCGGTGCACGGAATTTTAATATCCGAAGGGGAAGTACGGAGCAATAACTGAGTCGCGTGGGGGGATGAACCCTCCCTAGCGGCGTGCTGCAAGAGGGGGAACGGCAACATATGTTATCTCTTAGTTTAATTAAATTCCTGTAGTGCCGCGCACCCTGGCACGTAGATCTACCCCTTGGAATGCGGCTAGTTGTGTCGTTGGCCTTACGCGATGCAGGAATTTCAGTATGTTCAGAAACAGGCAGGGGAACTTCCAAAAGTGTAATGTCTTGGACATATCGCAACGTCGACTTTTATTCGTCGAGGAATATTCTTTTTTTGAGATTTTTATTTGTCAGCGTTTTTTAATCGTGCTGGAATAAATTAGTCTAAAGGAAAAACGGATAAAATGTCATAAACTCGGGTAAAACGTCAGTCGAAAAGCAAAAACAATTAGTTTAAGAAAGATAATGTGATAAAATATTTTCATTAATTTATCAATATTTTTATAATGTATAGATAGATTATATATATATATATATGTGTGTGTGTGTGTGTGTGTGTGTGTGTGTGTGTGTGTGTGTGTGTGTGTGTGTGTGTGTGTGTGTGTGTGTATAATGTATAGATAAATTTGTTTATGATAATGAAAATATATTTAATAATTAATCACACGCATATTTAATATAAATCATAACTTACGTCTTCCTTAAAATGAATGGTAGAACATTGAAGCAGGGCTCCCATAAGTTTATGAGGATTCCATGTCACCGAGTCAGCCCTGAAAAATCATATGTTGTTAGAATTACATAAAAAAATTTTAATTTGCTTCAAAACATAATTTCTAATTTTTAGGAAGTAATTAAAAAATAATTAGAAAGTAATTTGGAACTAATAAACAAATAAAATTAAAATATTTTGATTATTATCCTACACAGAAGCATTATTAAATCTTTTTTGTAAAAAATTCTCTTCTCTCTATATATTATTATTATTAATTCTTATCCTGCATATTTTTTATGGATTAAAATTATGTCTGCAGTAACATTGCATTTCATATACCTAAACCAAAATCACTTTATAGATGATATGGAAGAATTATTCTTCCTCTTATCTTCTGTCTTATCAGTAACCTGTCGAAACGAATCGCATCGAGCCGCATCGAGTTGACTGAAAAAGCCAACCGACCTCAGCTGGTCGTCAAATTCTTATCCACTCCCACGGGAACCAATAGGGGATAAAATATGAGTTATCTTTCTGCTGTGCCATAAGAAGAGGTCTATCAATTCAAGAGAAGAGCTATTAATACAGCCACAGGACCGGATTTAGCCCCCTGGTCCTCTGGGACTCACTCCGGTGATAAAAACCTTTAACCCTTCTTAATCCTTGAAGAAGTATTATGAAATGTGAGAATCTTCGTTCACATTCTTCAACATAAATTTGTGGTGTATTTTAGATATTTTAGCAGCATATATATTTTAGATATTTAGCATATTTTAGATATTTTAGCAGTATATATATATTTTAGATATTTAGCATATTTTAGATATTTTAGCAGCATATATATTTTAGATATTTAGTATAAAATAACATAAAAAAATTAAAAAGAAGAAAACTAAATCTGATAAGACACAATAATAAATAGCAAAATGATATTGAGCGAATATAATAATTGTTAAAAATATTTATTTTTTTGTAAAATTAAAATTTAACTAAAAATTGAAAAAGTTACATGTTTTTTTTTCTAATTTGTAAAACTTCAGCTTTAAGTATATATACGTGTGCTATATGATAAATGTTAGACTTTGCAAGTGACATGTTTATCGTGACATTGGTCCAGCGTATCGGTTGAATGCTCCGTGGATGATACGAGGGTACTCTTGAAGCACCCTTGAAGCACGATTCGTGTCGTTAACAGATGCTATCCATTATTTAATCGTGTGCATCTTCCTCTATGTTGCAGATTATCATTTTCATTTTACTCTAAATTTCGTGCAATATTTTTTTCATTAATAATATTCTATATTAATTTTAATTTGCATTTATTTTTTTGTGTTTTAATAGACAGCATATTATTTAAAATGTATTTATATAAAATTATCGATATTTTTCATATAAAATATATAAAATATTTGGTGGACAAAATATCAGAGTTAAGACATTTTTTATATTTAAACATATCGATATATTAAATTTTAAAGTTGTCTAATCTATGCAAGAAAAAGATTGCATTTGCAATGCATTGCATTTGTTCAAATTATTTCATAATTTATCATAATTTATAATTAAAAATAGAACAGAAAGAACTTTATCTGTAATTTTACATTATCTTAAATTTTCCACGATAAATTTATGAATAATAATTTAATAAAAAAGTAAGATAGGAAATGTTCTTCGTACAGAAGATTTCGCCAAGTTCGTATAGAGATTGCACTTGAAAAGCGTGTATAAAGTGCGAGTGATTAATGCGATTCGCAGCTGAAGCTGGCGCGCGTGGCACCCTTCTATATGCTTTTAAATTTATCCGAGGTGCCAACCCCAAAAGCCGCGCAATATATATTACAGGAAATGTTAATTACCCGCACCCTTAAGTGTGATATGCTACTGTGTGTAGACTACGTGCAAAAGTTCTATAATGCGAACTTTACGCCTCTGACTCAGTAATGATTAAAAAAATGTTGATAGAGTTTAATTCCTATCGGGACATGTTTTCGTATTGCAAAGATAGATTTTATATAGAAACCCAATCCCCCCCTCTCTCCTCCCCTCCCCCTCTTTCTTTCCAAGAATTTAAAAAAAATAGATTAAAAAATATCCTTGTAATAATAAGAATTAAATAACAATTAATTTCGTCCAGAAATTAATGATAAGATAAAAACTTATAATTAAGAACTTAAGGTTTCTCTGATTTGAAGAAAGTTGAGCAAGTGATCTGATATCTCTTTCTAAATGAGTTGAACCGTACATTTCGAATTTCTCGTTATACTTGCGATTTTTAACAATTTTCCTTTTATATCGAACATTTTCGAACGATTTTAACCGAGAAGGTAAAATCACGGCATCCATTCTTGGTTTTACGCAATCCAAAACGGGAATGCGACGAGAACGGGGAGTAAAGAGGACCGTTCAGAGGATGAGGGAGGCAGTTCTCTTTGTACGAGTTTAATCCGGCATTGTCAAGGCACCGGCTTTTATTTCAGCCTTGCGGAGGGAAGACGCAGTGGTGGCACGACGTCGCTGTAAAAGGAGAATTCTGTTCCACAAATGTGCTCCAGGGAACTGATCCAGCTGTTGCTCGTGCGTCGGATCTTTCTCGGCGTGCCATTCGTTTGCCATTTTAATCAAGACTTCCAGGAAGGAAGTATCCATCGCGGTACAGTCCGCGTAAAAAAAAATAAAAAAAATCGCGAATATGTATCATCTGTTATCGATATAATAGAAAAAATAATTCATTTTATGATAATTTTCAAATAAATTTTAAATATTCTTGTAAAATACACATTGGAAAAATTCCGCAAAATAAATAGAAGACGAGAAATGTTTTAATAATTAAATATAAAATTGTTACAATTTAAAAAACATCATAGCCATTTTCATATCATTATTTATTACGAATAAAAAATGTATTTTATCTATTATGAATAATAGATAACATACATTTTTTTACTTATCAACGTCTTCGAAATATAGTGACGATTGATAGATGGCTTGCTATCTCTTTTTGTACATAAATCATTCCCGAGAGACTTCTCGCACCGATTTTCAGGTCAGGGATTGTGTGTTGTCGAATCGAGGGAGCAGATGCGCCTGGATGCAAATCGTGGATTAATCTCGCCAACCCCATACGTGCCTCGTCCATATCCCTGACCCCTATCACAGCTCGGAGGGTTCCATTGCGTTCGCGTTCATAGATATACTAGGTGAATCAGAAATCGTGGATTTTCTCCCGCGTAAATGTAGATTTTTGATAGAAAATTTAAAATTAATGTTTCTTATTCAAATATTCAATTGAATATCATATTAAATATCATATCTTTTTAAATTTTAATATTACAACTAAATTTCAAAAGTTATAGTTCTATTTAAAATATTTTTATACATTTATAATATGTAAAAAATACATGCTATTCGCTTTTCGATAATTGTTTAAAATTTTTGTATTGCTAATGCAAGAAATCATTCTAAAGCAATCTGGTGCCAGCCCCTAGTAGCATCCTAATCGCGGTTTATGCGCAATACATTACGGACTGACTGCCTTCGACCATTCTCATGTAAAATCATTTTCAGCCCAGCGTTCGAATCGCAGTTACCTCGTAAAGGGACGTATTGATTTTATTCCACATATACAATATACATTGAGTAGAAGGCGTTTTTTAAACAAGTCCATCATAACTAAGCCTAACTAAGCTCCCCGACAAACTATAAAATATACGAATTAAATCTCTTTCTCCCCTCCATATATGATATTCTGACTGAATCACGAAAGTAAATAGAATTACACATTACGTAATTACGATAATAATATATAAAAATAAATTATAAAAACAATAAGCATATAAAATAATAACAATTTAATTTAATAGTAATGGAAAAGTCACTTTAATTAAAAAATTATTAATGGGATAATTCTTTTTGTAACAATTCACATAGAAAGTTGTCTCTCGCTCGATATGCAAAGAAAATAAATCAAAATCAATTTTAATATTTATATTAACACTCACCGTTCGATGCCAGATAATCTCGGATGCCTGTACTTTCTCGACAGAAGCAGTCCACCACCCCAAGCCGCCTGGAATAAAAATATAGAAAATTGAGAATACAATATTTGATGAAATGCAAGCAAGCAATTAATTTGAAAGACAAGATAATAAATAAGCAAAATGCAGAATTTCGTGTTAAGCACTTCTTAATCTTTGACTTAGACTTTCTCTACAGTTTGCTGGTGAGTGTCGCATTGGAACTTCTGCCGCTTCCCGCATTTATTATTTATGTTAAGGCTCTTACGCATTTGGCATTTACAGCTTAAACTGTGTTTGGATGGACTTGATTGCATAAGCGCATCTAATTTAAAAGGGATCTTAAGTGAGAATATCCCTTAAAACTATTTAAATATTCTCTCTCTTTTATTAATTATTATATTTATTATATCATTCCAATTTTTAATTAAATCGGTATTTATTATTTTAATTAAATATAAAAAATATATTACTTGATAATTATATTCTTATACATTAATGAGATTAATATGCAGGAAAAATTTGCTTATGAATTAAATTAAATATTATTTACTTAAAAACTTTTTAATTGCCTAAAAGTATAGTGCCTAATATTTCCAGATATTAATGTTATTTAAATTTATATTTGATATTTAGCACATAAATATACATGTTTCCACATTTTTCGAAAAGAGCATTACTTACGTCGACATGCAGCCAGAGCTTATATTTTTGACAGATATCAGCGATTTCTGGGATCGGGTCGAATGCACCAATAACCGTTGTTCCCGCAGTGGCATTCACGAAGAACGGTATGTGACCTTTGGCCTTACGCTCGAGAATTGATTCCTCCAACTTCGATGGAATAATGCGACCGCGTTCGTCGCTAGGCACCATCACGCAGTTATCCGTTCCGAGACCACAAACGGAAGCGCATGATTTCACAGAATAATGGCACTGCAGACATTAATAATCCATGCAAATCGTAAACAATCTAATCAGTTTTTTTGCTTTTTCATATACATTTAAATAATACAACTTTACAACTTACATTTAATAAAAATTGATTTAATTTCTCAACGAAAAATTTACAAGTTTGTAATTAATGAGTTTAAAAAATACGATATATAACAATTTATTTATATAATTCTATACTTTTTTAAATAATATTTTCAATTTTTAGACAATAAAATTCTTCTCCGAAAGTAGAATTTTATTAATTAAATATTAAAGAGTTCGCAAAAATAAAGCAGATTACAATTTTTATCAAACATTCTCACAAATTTAACATACCTGATCGGACGTAAACATAACCAACTGCCCTCCAATAGCAGAGAGTCCTTTCTCTTTATAGTATGGGAACATTTTATGTCTGGCCGCAAGAAAGGCGTAAAGATTGCTAATAGATCCTCCTGGAGCGAGAATGGAATCGCCGCAATTCCAGCCTATAAGCTCGCGCATTTTTTGCAAAACGAAATGTTCCATCAGAATAAACACAGGAGCAATCTCGTAGGTAAACATGTTCGTGTTCGCTGTTGCGGTTAGCCATTCACCGGCCATGGATATTAAATCAAGACCGCATGATAATTGATTGAAGAAGTGTGGATGTCCTAAAAACGAGAGAAAAAGATTTCCTTAAAGATACTGTAGTCTGATTTTATAAAATTTCTGACTTATCGAAAAATATATATGTATTCTTGTCGAAAATTATGCAAATGCAACGAAGAATTAATTACTGATTGGTCACTGACAATAATTAATAAATCATTCTGCCTCGAATGTGGCTACACTGATTGTTGACAAGTGGCTCTTAATAGCAAAGTAATTAATAACACTGACGTGGCACGTGTTCGAGTATTATTATGCCACACGCGACCTCGTCATAACGCGTAAGCCAAAGGCACGCTAGAGAAAAGGCGCCTAGAGAGAGAGCTTTAAGCTCTTCCAGAGTACGTTGTCATCCGCTCGGCTGAACATCGCGCGAGGATCAAGCCTAATGCTTCTGTTCGATGGGATCTCAGCCTTCTGATGCAACTAGGGGAGCGAGTATTTTATTTTCCCTCTCTTTCTGACATAAATGCGTAGCTATGTCAGTCTTCTAATCCGTTATTTGCGTTACGCATTAAACGTATTTACTTTAAATCGATATAAGTAGGTTTATAAAAAAATTTTTATATAAATTATAAAATACAAAGGAAACAAAGAATATGTGACTATCGAAATTTAAGAACATTACTTCCCATGTTTCCTTCTATGTTTCATCCGGAAACAATCAATGAAACAGACAGGCATAGAGGAACCCTTCGAAAGCACTAACACCTTCTGGGATATTGCAAATCTCTTGATCCTTGAAATATGATGGATTCACTTCATTGAATATCCGGTCTCGAAAAGACTTTGACCCTTGTGCGTTCGATATATTCTTACACATTTTGCACCATATACTAACGTATCAAGTCATTGTACAAAAATAAGAAATAAAAAGATATAAAAGATATAAAAGGCTTTAAAAGATTTTTAATCTATATGAGAACTAATCGAAATTATTTCATATATATTTATCAAATATATTATATATATTTAAATAAGAGCAAAAATTTGTATTATTTGATGTACGATTTTGTTGCCTATAAATGTATTTTAATTATCTATTTTAAACAATTGGTACGTGGCATCAGTGTTCACCATAAAGTATGGAGTTTCCCTTCATCGGCTACTTTGAACTTGGGATTTGCCGTGTGGCAAAGTCGAATCAACGTTAAAAGCCTAGAAGGATAAGCTCCGATTTTTGTTAAACAACTCATGAACATGGACCATGTGTCTCCATTAAAAGAATTCCATTAATAGAGAACAAAATACTTAAATAAAGTAATAGCAAATATTCTTTAACCTGGATTTTTATCATCACTAAAAATATTGCACATCATTGTGTCTATTAATATGTCCATTTAAATAAAAATAATCTTTATAATACAAATATGATTTTGCTAATATATATTTTTTTCCATTTTTCAAAATTTGCATTGACTGGAAAAGTATTTCAAATATTAGTTCCTCACATCCATCTTGAACAAAATCTCGATTAATTTTCATAAATAATCATTTTGAATCATCAATTGACGCGAGTATCAATGAATCCGACGCGAAAACGATCTCAGACGCGATACCAGACAGTGATATTTGAGTCGTTTGTCGTACTGTTATTCGCAATTATCTCGGTCCGTGGATCATGGCACGCGTCCGGTTGAGGGGTGTGCGAAAAGACGATCTTTTCTCTTTTTCCCGTCTAGCAGGAGCGACAGAATCGCATTGCGACTAAGGGTGGAGCAGGATTCGATGGTCCGAAGCGCCCGCATTTTGCGCGTCACACGCGTCGCTGCTCGACTAGATTGTTTGCAGAGGCTCTCAAACGCATACAGCGTCCAAGAAAAACAAACAAAGTGCAGCCAACTGATGCAAAATAAGCCGCTTTTCATTATATAGATTTGTGTCGCGAGTTCGGAAATGCACGGGGATATTTGGCATTCTTTCGTAAGGATGTTATTGTTTGTATTATTTTTATCTCGTGCTATCAATTGATGTATACTTATTTTCTTATTCTTATAATTGTCCATGTTGTAAATAAATTTTTAAATGAATAAGATGAATAGTGATTTAAAAATTTTTTTAAATAAATAAAAATGAGAAAAATAGCACAAGAGTTAAGTCTTGTTTTAAACAGGATCAATCAACATTATAGATTTGATTAGATATTAATTTTGAAGAGACATTAACTCTTCGAAATTTTTAAATATCTTCTTGACAACAACATCCAAAGATAATAAAGATAATTAAGTACGTTGATATATAATACTGCAATTAAAATGCGTTGATATTATAAATTATATTTTTTAGATTACATAATTCTTTATAGTTTCATAGTTTCATTTGATTTCTTATTTTTGCAATCGTATTTATACTTATTTAGCTACATGAACGAGATCTCGATTTTCAGCTGCAACAATAAATGATTTGTCTCAACCGCCAAACGTTCTTCATAGCATCCAGAGAATCATTTTCCGACTAATTTGCTCCTGCCCTCGCGTAGTCGAGAGAAAGAGAGAATGCAAGGAGAACCTGCTCCAAGCAGGCTGCGGTGATATATTATAGGACTCGGGATTTGTATGGAGCGAAGTGTGTAACTCGGGTTTAACATTAATACCACGCGATCAATCATACCACTCATAAGGAAGAAAACATTGTGCCTGGCATTGCTGTTATGTTATTCCTATAAAGAATTTTACAAAATTGTGTGTCATAATATGCTACTTTTATGTTATTTTATTTAAGATATAATATATGATAGTCATTTTCTACATATGTTATTATATTAAAACATGCAAATATTATCTTTGAAAACTAGATACATTTCAGTTTTATTTAAAATATATTTGAAATAGTTACAAAAACATTATGTGATTTTAATAAATTTTATAAAATTATTTCTTCCTTTCTTTACCGGATAGCTACCGGAAATCGAGTGCGATATACTGTTTTATGCCGACAAGCAATCAAATCCGTTGAATGTTTTAAACGCCCGGTATGCTTGATCTTTTTCAACAGGACTATCATCGCACGAATACCTACGTGATACGGCATTTTTCGCATTCCGTGACGAACCGATTCGCGCATTCCGCGACGAACTATCGATATCAATTTAAATTCCTCCGACGCTGTACCCCGATGCTTTTCCCGCGTTAGAGCTTCGCAAAATACCATTTGCCCCTATATCGCGTAGTATGTATCCTATACCACCCTTTACAGTTTTACTCCCTATTTACTGTTTCCCCTCGACCCTGCCGAGGAAAAATCGTGAAGAAATGGCTCTTAATTACACCAATCCTATTGAATTCACCACTCACGCAGCAGTGTCACATAGATATACTTTAGCATAGTAGCAATAAAATGCTTTTTATCGTAATTATAGTTTAAATTTGTTTAAATAAAACAATTATTTTTTAGATTATAATAATTTAGAAAAATTTATCAAATAAATATACTGTATAAATGTGTATTGCTTATATAATAAATTTATAATCGTTTAACACACAGAAATAATTATAAAAGTAATTTCAATTTTAGATTTCCTGTTATATTTTTTTCATTTCAAAATGTTACTTAAATCCATTATTATCGCGTAGCCAAAAATATTTTTATTTTTGATATGTATTATTGATATTTTTGATATTTATTAGTATTATAATATTATATCACGACTTTTGTCGACATCTATCGATGGATTTTTCTTCGTGATCAGTTTCGCTTCCGTTATTGATATCTTTCAACATACCTCTGATATGTGTCCGCCCTTTCAAAAGCGGCTTCTATATCGATACACATCGATTGATATTCTTCAGAGACAGGATATTTTTCCTGTGGCCGAGGGTAGATCATCCTCCCAAACCCGATACGCGAAGGGTTCTATCTCGAATTTTGTGGCATATAATCTAATAACGAGTTTTTGTCGGTACGTATCGTGCACGCGCCCTTTGGTGACGAGGGGATGATCACGCGGCCCTCGGTTCCTTTTACGTGGACTGTAGACAGACCGGATTCCTCCTGGCCTAAGTTTAGTTAGGTTTGCTCCATTGTGCATTACCATCTATTCAAGCTGGTAATCGAATCCTACCGAGATAGCGAACTTTCGCACGCCGGAAGGGAGATTTGCGGTTGACTTTTGGTATTTCGCCAAGCCGCTATATCACAATCTAGCTGCTTCGACAGATTGACGTTATTACTGCAATATTTCTGCGAATTGAAACTCACCTCGATACCATAAATACATTTATTTTGCACGTATATTTTTTCACATTTTATTAGAATGAAATGATTAAAGAGAATCTGAAGGTTTTATTGAATATATGAATATTGAATATACTGTATACTTTATAGACTTTATGACAAGAAATTTGTGAAATTAATTAGAAAATTTAAGTGAGAAAGAATTAAGTTATAAAAGAAATTAAAAATATATAAATAATAAATATTAAATTATATTTTATATTAAAAAGAGTGATTTATTTCTTTGTATCAATTAATTAAAATTTTATTAAATGGCGTACATCTCTCACGTTGACATTTAAAAATTAAAATCTTACTTCATGTATTAAATCATCTTTTAAAATCAATTGTATGATGAAAATAACGCGAACGTAACTTTATCTAAAAAAATGTCTTATAGTATTTCATCTTTAATGATACAAAACATGACATAGCACGTGGCGCAAAACGTGACGCGAAGATATCTTTCAGTTTTGTAGTTACTGCGTATACCCCGATTTATTATAAATACCACGTCAGTGTGTTTATTTCGAGGGTCGGACTTTATTGCCAATGTCTGTCGTCACCTTATCTTTGCTCCTCTGCGAGCACGTATGCTAAATTGAATATGAAATTATGTGGCTTATCGCCCTCGGGGATAGGGACGCGCGATAGCGCAGTGTTAAAATGCTCCTCCTGACAGGGGACTGCATTTTTGTAATATTTTTGTTCCACTACCTCAATAGCATTGTACATCTCGCGTTTTACGTTGATGCGAGTTTTAAAATAATTCTTATTTATAAACTTTTTTGCATTAAAAAAGTGTTTAAAAAAGAATTGATGAAAAATATTTGAAAATATTTAAAATTCTATTATTTTATATAAAACATTTAAAATTATTTATGATTGAATAGAATATACATCTCTTTTTGCATAAAATATAAATATAAAATTGTTTGAAAAATTACAGAAATAAGATTTCGATAGAAAGACTATATTGGAATGAAATACAATAAAAACTAGATCGATGACAGAATATAAATATTTATGTCGGTATATGTTTCTGTGTAACGGCTGTTATTGAAGTATGTTTCAATTTCGAACCATTTCAAGATATTTCAAATGAATGAGAAGCTTTTCTATTATATGTTTGATATTTAAAATGCTCTGTTAAAATTTAAATTCATGACTTAAAGTAATACAAAATTATCTTATAATGCTTTTATTATTTTCGAATTGTAAATAAAGTCTTAAAATGTTAAGAAAAAGAGAAGAAGAAGAGAGAGAGACAAGAGGCAGAAGAGAAAGATACCCTTTCAAATTTACCGTTTTCTATCCTGAGAATTTTGTTACAATTAAAGATAAACAAAATTAAAGGCTCCTGAAATTAACAAATTAAAATAAAATATAATAACAAGCCACAAAGAACCAACGCAGTTGTAAGGCGTGTTTTTGAAGAAAAAAATCCATGAAAACGATCACATTAAACAATTTTTCTTCTTTATTGACATCAAACGTTTCGGACTCAATTCGAGCCTTCTTCAGTGATTTTGACAAGACAAAAAAGAACCAAATAAGATAACATTAAAAACGCGTCATTAATAGATAAGAGAGAAAAAAAAATGTAGTTATCATACGTGCATAGTCTTAGAGAGCGAACGTTTGTTACAATTGTTTTTATTACAATCCAATTTTCGATTAATTTTAACAAACTTTTCTTTTTTGAAATATTATCATATACATCTGATGTCTTCATTTTACTATTAAAAATAAACTAAAAAGTATAAAAATAATTTATATATACATGTATTAAATTAACATCTACGATCTAATTCTTATTCGTTTCTTTCTATTATCGAAATAATTGAAAATTATTATTAATTTATATTTATAAGCAGTCTCTCTATTTATAATATTATTTTTGTTTTAAATACGTATACGTTACGCTTAATACTTGTAAAATATATATTAACAATTGTGACTTATTAGTTGTAGAAATGATTGATATGTAATCGAAAAATATTAGATTGAAATTGCGCATTATTCATTTTAGTATATATAGAAAACAATTCAAGCTTTGTACTTACCTGTTTTCACTTGATATTTTAAGGTCATGGAACAATCTAGTAAGAGCTGTTGAAGAGTCAATCCAGTATCAGGTATTTCAAGATCGAGTAGACGCATCATGTCAGCAGGATGATGAAAATCGAGAACCTTCGCATTTCTATCATTCGTTGATTTGACGAAGTCTAGCAGGATATCCACTACCTTCATCAAGAACTCTTTAGTGGCCGGATAACCTTCTACGTTGTTTGGCAGAATGTCTGCGAACAAAATGAGAATATACGAACACGAATCATATATACGAATCGTCTATTTGTTAGATGTTGCGTTATGCAATAATCATCAGTAATAAAACATCTAAAAACATCTAAAAACATCAATATTTATACATTTATGTATACATTTTGATTAGACTGTTTAGATTAACAATAACATTAATAAGTTTCCAATGTTTCCGAAATAAATTGCGTATTGATATTGCCTTTATGCTATCAAAATGTCAAGATGTTTTTATATATTTCTTTTTCTTTTTAAGAAACGAATGATGATAATTTATGCACAATACGATACAATAGCTACAATAACTCTCTAATTGTTGGGTCAAGTGAAATCTCTTCTACAGCGATATCGAAAATTAAAATTATATTGACAAGATTTCCTTTCGGCTGTCATTTCGTCGACCTACCATCATGACTTTGACGTCATCCTCGAAGTAACGCGCAATTAGAATGATTTCACCTCATCAAACAATTGAAAGTATAGACCTATATTGACACACTCTCACTTGTTTGGTGGGATGACACCATCTTATTCTTCTTTCTTCTGCTCATAGCAAATTCTTCATGGTATCATGACGCTGTCTAACATTAGTATAATTCATTGCAAAAATCATGCATTATATAATTACATATATATATATATATATATATATATATATATATATATATATATAATATTCTACAAACATAAATTCAAAAACGAAACAACACACACACACACACACACACACACACACACACATACAGGGAAAGATGAAAGATAACTTTACACATAAATATATATATATATATATATAATATTTTATCGAATCTCTCTTATAGATACGAAATAGATATGAAAGATAACTTTACACATAAATATATATATATATATAATATTTTATCGAATCTCTCTTATAGATACGATACAATGAAGACAGAACGAAGTCGTTACAGCAGAACATTTCAATGTACTCGTGGTAAATCCTTGGCAAATTGAACTGTCCTTCTATCGCGGAACGACCATAAAATACCCCATGGAGTAGACTACCCCTCGTCTCTCATTGCATTAAGGTGATCCCATGGATAAACAGCCAAGCTACTATAAGACTTCGCTTTCAAATTATTATTTAGCATTTTTAAGAAGGGGTACTAAAAACGATACTTCTTAAGAAGACATAGAATTGTATCCTTATTTTTTTGTTTTTCTATATATATATATATATATATATATATATTCCTCAGAAAAATACATCAAATATTATTATTTTAAATTACAAGTAACTTTCCCCAACGAAAAAAATATTGATTAAAAATTTGTAAGTTTTACAAACACGCTACTCTGTTATATTCTTTAATTTAATAAATCTAATTTCCTGTCAAATAATAATTCTGTTAAACACTACAGATATTTGAACGAAAGTATTTCGTGATAATTTAAAAAAAATAGATCTGTCCAACAATAGTTTTTTTCCAACAATTCTTTTTCAATGATCGTAAAGATCGTGCTAAATAAAATCCGAATAAAGAAGGAAGGGCGAAAACTTATAGTGAATCGCCTTGAGCCTACGGTTAGACAAGGGAAATCCCCGGTTCCTAACAGTCAGATCCAGCTAATCCAGCTCCATCAATCTAATGTCTAAAGACCTTCGCTTTCTGCTCAAGATTTATAACACTTTTGGAGATACGAACAATTTCGAAGCTATCGCAAGATTTAATTATTTAAAATAAATATTAATTTTTATTGTTTCATCTATGAATTATTACTGTCTAGAACGATGTGCTATGTATCGTAGTACAATATATATAAATATATATATATATATATATATATATATATATTTCTAACTAGATAAATAATTAAATACCTTACTAAAATTTTATTAATTCAAATGTATTTTAATCTTTATGAAATATAAATTATTTGGCAGATTTTGCCGAGTGTATATTGCTCAGTTCAGACTCGATATATCCTGCGTATAGTCATTCGGCACCAGATGTGCCTAGGCCCTCGTATTTCGACTTTAATCAACGCGTCTTCTGGGGATTGTTATACGCAGCAATTAGTCACACCGATTTATAAGCCGGATTACAATCTTAATTTATAGTAATACTGCAGATTTCGCATTGCAATGCATTCTCTAATGAAATTTTTATAAATGTATATGTATATGTTGTTGCTTGTATATGTTATTTGTATATATTATTATCTTTTTCAAATCACTCGAAGTAAAGATCTATTAAAGTATTCTACGAGCAGCACGCGCATGTCGTTATCGCCCGCTAACACTTCCCAAACGGTGAAGATGACAAACCCTTCCGCATCCCTGCGGCGTGTAATCTGTCCTCAGCCACTCGGCGTCTACCAACCTCTTTGGAATAATTCTAAATCCTCTATTATTATGCACCCTTCCGACCCACAAGCCTCGCGAAATCAGGACAATATTGTGACGCTTGGATTTTGCCCTCGAAAAGCTAAGTCAACGCTTGCGTAATGTAAAATGTACCCATGATATAATTTGTTTTTTTTTTTAACTTAATATATCACAGCCGAGTGATTCTAATGAGGAAGATTATTATATAGATTATTGAATAATCAAAATTATGAATAATCAAAGCAGCATCCATGCAGAACACAGTCGTTAATTATGTTAAAAAAGCAAAATATTTTTTTATATTAAATTCTTCTCTTACGCATGCAGTACTCAAATAAAAACTGATTAATTTTAAATCTTTATAATCACTTACCCGAATACTTCAAGTTGCAATGCTCCTTCGAGAGCGAATAGGTGTTTTCGGAACTCATTAGTCTGGTAGGTGAATGCGTTCGTGCGAAATTCTGAAATCCAAAATAATGAAAATTTTTTTTCTTAAATTGTCTGCATTTGTATAATATTTGCATTAGCGAATTGATCTTTATAACGGCAAATATTAAATTCTGTTTTATCGAAGACCTTTAATCAATCAACAGAAAGTTAATTTTCTTATAAAAATATATAATCGTATTAAATAACATTATAAGTCAATAAATTGTTGTTTGTTGGAAATCAAGAAACTAATACAATTAATCTAAAAATTACTAAATGGAATTACATTAAAGTCAAAGATTTTGTCGACAATGTTTTCACCAACATTATCTTCGTAGATACTAAATTTGATCAACTGCATATATTAACTGATATAATTATTCACTGACATATACATTCACCGATTTCTGCATATTATTCTATTCCAAATTTAAAAGAGAATATATATTTATAATTTGAAAGTAAAATATTCGCAAAATGAAAAGAATTATTCCCTTAACACAATGATAAATTCATTGCTTACCTGGCAATGTATACAATGAGGACACAATTAGCATATGTTACTAAAGTAACATTTATACTAATCAAATGAAAATATTTAATGAAGACATTGTCGATGCCGATCTCACTAAACGAATAGATGTGATGAATGATGTGCAATGTGGATGCCTTACATATAAGTATTCCTTGATCGCTGTGATTTTAGTGCCGATCATTTGCACATTGTCCATGTCTCTGCTTGTGTCCCTCGCCTCAACAGTCCCTACAACAATCAACAACAGATTTCCGCTTCAGTCACGACGTACTGCGGCGTCGAGTCTTTGGCGAATTTTAGCGAGATTGCGAAATTGTTAAGCGAGATTGCCATCGCCTTGGCAGCGCGATAGGCTGAGCGACCGAAGAAACATGGACAGAGAGCAGTTTTTCGTCGTCTTTCTTAAATTAATTTCTAAAACACAAAGCATTCTCACATACATTTCACATCTCACTAACATTGAAAAATTGCAAATTTTTATTAATGTGAAACTTTTTTCTTAATAAAATATGTAAGATTTAGTCATAATATAGAGCAATAATAGTAGTATTAGCGACTTACACATACACAACACATGAAAAATAAATAGAAAATAAATTGTTAATATACAGATAAAAGAAACACGTAGAAAATAAATTGCTAATAAACAGAAAGTATCTAAAAAACAAAGCATTACAAGATCTAAATCGTAATTGATAAAAACATAAAAAGCAAAAAGAAAAAAGCATTTGGATTATAAAAAATGAAAAAAAATATTCATATAAAAAAATCTAATTAATAGAATTAAAGTTACAGATAATATTAACAGAGAATATAAAAAAATAAAGAAATAATAAAATATAAAATAATATATATTAGAAATATTAATAAAATAAAATAAGATCTAACACGCAACATACCGTCGAATGAACGACCCTATGCGTAGAAGATAATAATTAAAGAGGCTGTTCTTCAACGTGCTAAAAGAAGTTTAGATTCATGGCTGAAGGCGCCAGAAAAACACACGATCATATTTAATTATTTGACAATTATTGCGAGTGAAAATTAATAAGCTCACAAATAAGTATAAATATTGCGAACATTAAACGAATAAAAAAAAGAAATTCACACACATACACATACATAGAGCCAGTAAAAGTTAAAAAGAGTTTTAAACTTGCTATTATCTCGCGTTTATAAGATTATATAATTGTAAAATAAGCAAATTTTTATAGATTATCGAATTATCAATCGCACTTTGTGTTCTAAGTAACCAAACAATATTCTTCATAATTTTCTTGAGCAATCGCATCGCTTTGCTGTTTGAGTCAGTAGGGCGATCCTGGGATATAAGAAGCTGAAGAAAACTTGAAAGACGTCCATCAATTGTACAATAATAAAACATGCAGAAGGAAGAGAGATAGAATGATTATGAGAAACGTGCATGATTAATGAATGCATTCGAAGAAAATATGTTACATTGTGTTGAATGTTGTCGTCATCCGCTTTATCAAATCAATGCGTCGAAACTCACGTGTGTAATCTATTTTGGGAGAAATAATTTATTAAAAGAAAAGAAACAGAGATATACGCATAAAAAATATTGATTAAATAATTTTTAAAAGATTAGTTCAATATATTAACAATAGCATTTTGCATTTCAATTTTCTCTTATATATATGTTTCTCTTAAATATTTACAAATTAAATGATTTTTAACTTAAATTGTATTCAAGAAAAATTCTTTTTAATCATTTTAATAGCAGATTCATCTTCACTTTTCGGAATTTAAAGAAATTGTTCTAAATTTATAAAAATAAACGATTTTCTTCAGTCGTTATTTTTTAAATAAATGATATGTCCTTATATTAAAAAAAAGATATCATATCAAATAAGATAAAAAACGAATAAAAATTATAAAATATACTATTATTAAATAATTATAGTAAAAATTATATACAAATAAAGTTATTTATAGCTAAAAGTTATTTAAAAATTAATTTTAGAGTTATTTACAGCTAAAACTATAAATTATTTTAGAAAAAGTGAATAGATTGAGTATCACATGCTAGAAGAAAGATAAAAATTATAAAGTCATTAAATATTGAGTTTTAACTATGATTATTTTGCTTCTATATGAATCACATATCCTAAAGTAATATTTTATTAGTAACAAAATTTAAATTGTTTTATACATGTTAAAATTTTATTATCAACTAATTAAATTATATATATTTTATTATATATTTTTGTGATTCCAATCTCTTTAAGAATATTCATTCTATAAATCCTTTCCAGAAATTTACATATTTTAATTCCAATTTTTTTACCGTGACGATTTTTTTTAAAATACATAGAATTATCAAGTTTTAAGGCATTCTCTAAATATATAATACACATATCAAAAATCAATTTTGAATCGAAGAGAAATAATCTATACTGATACAACCTTCATCTCGTACTTACCTAATCCCGCTGCTTCTTCCGGGTTTTCTTCGTGGCCGGGTGGCTTGATTTGCGGTCTTAACGAGGCTAGGTTTCGCTTCGGAGCGAGCGTAGGCTTTAAGGATGGAATGCCGATGAAGTGGCGCAGCAACGACGGGCTTCGGGGTGGTTTCCAAGGGACTGCTTCGTGTCGAAAACGCCTGGACGATTCTCGAGCTTCGGCCTGACTCGGCCTGCCTCGAGTCTGCCTGACCCAGTTTCATTTCAGCACAACCTACGCAATCACCCTCTCCAATGGGGGTGCTTTTACGTAGGCGTGGCTGTATCCGGTCGCAACTGGTGGGAGTTATATAGGAGGATGAAATAGAAGGGTGAAATACAGTGGTGGATAACAGGGCGTGTCGCTGTACCACCAATCCTGAAACGAACGTCACTTTTGACGTCAGAGAGAAAAAGAGGATGAAAGAAACAGTCAGAGAAACAGTCAGAGAAAGAGAGAAAAAGAGAGAGAGAGCAGATATGCCAAATTCTCTTGTTTGTTTTTATGTTTTTAGATTTCTTTTTGTTTATCCTAGTCGCGTATGATTTTCTTGGCAGAACGTATCCACTACCGACTTTTGTATCTTTATTCAATTCGCTATCTCAAAAGATTGTTGAGATAGAAAGAATCTCTAGAGTTTCGATTGGAAAACGAAAATCCTGATATCATTGATGCGCGGAGATATAGAAAGAGATTGAAGTTTAAGAAAGTTCTAAATAATGGGATGACACTCTCTCTTTCTCTCTCTGTTTGTAAATTTCAAGATATATATTGGCAAAAAATATATGATGGTTCTTTAACATTTTTCGCGCTTAAAATGCTTGAAATAATAAATATATAGAATATATAAATCTGTACTAATGACTAAATCTTGTTAAATATTCGATTGTTATATGAAACGACACACAATTATAATATTGTTTCTCCTTATATATATATATATATATACAAATTTATAATATTGAGACATAAACAGCAAATCACATCAGCTAGTTTAACAGCTTCAATCAAGTTCAGCTAATTATGTACATTATAAAAGAGATAAGAAAAATACTAATCGTATATAATTACAATTTATCTTTTTTATATCAATTAAAAGTAAATGCAAATGAAATACATCATCGATAAATATAAATAACAATCTTTTCGAAATCTTATTATAATATAAATCTAAAATATTAATTTGCGATTTACATCGATTACAAAAAATGTTGTAAAGGTGTTAAATTCCAAAAAAGTTTATATCGTCAAAATATATGTAAAACAAAAACAAAACCCTCATTAGGCTGTGCAACGGGGTATTATAAAAGAATCTAATTGCTCTGACGGTCTCCGATTCTCTTTAGAGAAAAATGTCGCAACGCCTGCGTCGTCTTTCGCCGACTGTGGTGGTCGAGGGCGAAGAACGCGAACAGGTAGGTAAACAGAGACGAGAATACTGAAAGAGGAAAAGACGATTATGGCTACAACGACGGAGGGGTTGAAAGGACAAAATGGACGGCAGCCAATAGGGTGCAGGAACAAAATGGCCGTCGGTAAATTTAATCAATACCGTCCTCCGTCCTTCGTTGTAGGTGGAGGACAGGACGAGACCTAGAAAGGGTCAGGAACGTAACTAGTGTATACCGCACGTATCTCTCTCATTGAAGTCGATATAATCTTCGTCTCATGTAGGCGCGTAAATCTTCTACGCGGGCGCATTTCTCCGTATAACATGAAGAATTTACTATTTCCGCCGTTGTACCATGCCGTGTCAATGCCTCGCGAACAACGAAAAGAAAAAGTAAAATCTAAAATTGATATCAAAGTTGGAGAGAGAGAGAGAGAGAGAGAGAGAGAGAGAGAGAGAGAGAGAGAGAAAGAAGAAGAAGGAGAAAAAGAAAGAGAGAGAGAAAGACAGAATTGCTATGTAATATTTCTCTATATTGCAAAAAATTTATATATTATATGTATTAGAACATTTATAAAAATAAATTATTATACATTTTTATTTCAAAACTTTGAAAATTATCGTCTTAATTCAATTATAATTGATTGCATTATATTCGTGTGATTATTTTATCCTTCAAATAATAAATGTACACAGGAATCGCAAAATACATATTACTGTTTCAAAATGTTCAAATTGAAAAAAGATTAATCATATTAAATGTATATAATTAGAGAAAATTTTTATTTATTATATAATTTTCACATTTTTTTGCATTGCTAAAATTTTAATTTAGATATTCGATTATCTACATCAATATATAGAAATTATATGATGTATCTAAGTTATCATTTATCTTAAATTAATTCTGATAATAGCTTCAGTTTACTAGCCTTAATATAATAAATGCACATGTTTGTCACAATAAAATTTTTCAATTTTCTAAAGTTTTTGGAGATTAAAGGATATCATTAAAATAATTCATCCAAATATTAAAAGAGATCATATTAAAATATTCATACATATAAAATTGATTCTACTAAATTATAACAAATAAAAATTTGATCAATTTGGCTGTAAAAAAATTAAAAATTTTTCACGATAAATACTTATGTCTTAAAATTATTTTACGGTTTTTACAAACTCGGATTGTCATAACATATTAGGAAAAAGAGTGTTATCAATATTTATAAAGCTTTAGTATGAAGTTTCCCCCAATAGTAACTATCAACTTGAGGTGACTGTTTTAAGGAGGAATCTAAGTTCTTTTACCATGACTGGAAAAGAGAAAGAGGAGTAGGTCGGTCGATTTAATGGAACCACGGTTGGATAGCATCGATCCCGCATCTACCCGTCCTTCCACTCTTCAAGAAAGATAACTCTAAGCTAAGAAGATGCTGACAAACTTCTCATTCTTCATCTTCTAAGAAACTTTAAATCAAATTGACATTTTGCACTCAAAAAGAGATTTGTTACGTGAACATATATTATTAATGAAAATTTGTCGACAATATTTTACTGATCATTACAGTATGGCTTGTTTTTCCATCATTATCCCATATAGCACCCTATGTCCAAAAGACATTAACAAAACATCCTGAAGATGTCTAATCGTCCAAAGATATCTTCTGGATACCTTCTGGACATCTTTTGGATGTGCATGCTATGTGGGATAAATCCTTCTTGCAGATGAAAATACATTCCAATCTCTGATGATTAATCATTAACGGCTTATATATGTATTAAATTTTATATTTTATAAAGTCTATTAAAAATAAACTTAAAAATTTTATAGTCAAAAATTAAATCCGTATTTTATAATTAATCAATACCATTTTTAATAATTTTTATTTTTTTTCCATCACATGCATATAGGTATATAAATCTTACCTTATAAATCTTACGATATTCTATGTCGTACTTAATTTTACAATTTATTTATTTATAAGTTTACACAAACTCTAATTGTATTATTTTCATAGAGAATAAAAAGATACATGTGAGAAATATATTCTACATGAAATATTGTATTGATAGTATTTCAAGTTTTATGAGATTACATATATTATATAATAAATAAATGTATTTCTTATACAATTAAACAACATTTACTTCATCGTCTATTAATAAATCTAAAAATTTATTACTTGTGGAAATATTTTATAACCTATTAAAACAATCGAATTATTTATAATTTATGCAATTTTATTATTATGAATTTATTATACCTGAATGAAAATAAAATGAAAATAAAAATCATGTCTGCAGATAATAAATAATAAATATATAAATATATATAAAAATATGAAATATAGAATTTCGATATTTTATAAAATTAAATATAATAATACATATTGCATAATATTGCCTTCAGATCTAAATATGTTATTTAATTTTCGAAATTTAATAACTTTTTCGTTATTTAATAATTTTTCTGAAAATTAAATTTGAAGAAATTTTTACAATAAAAAATTTAAGAAAAATCAATATTTTAATCATTATTATATATCATTTACATTATTTTCTTAAATCATTAGTATCTGTTATATACAAACAAAACTAATTTGACAATTCAAGCTCGAAGTAAGTATAATAATGATGAAAACAAAATATGAGAATGAAACTTTGAAGAAATTAATTTTTCTCTGACATGTTTTAATCTGCATTTATTAAATGTGCTTACCCGGAATTATTTCGTTATTTATTTCTGTAAAATTGTGCAATGTAAGTATTTGTCAATCTTCGTATATTATTGATGTCAATATTTTTTCTGTACGATATGTATTTAAAATTATAAATCAAAATAATATTTAAGTTTTTTAATTTTTTAGATAATATTAATTAATATTTATGGACTTATATATAATATTCTCATTTTTCGCGTACCTATAATATAGTAATAATATGATTATATATAATACATAATAATTTCTATTAATAAAAATATATCACGTTATTATTATATAATATATTAGATTATATAAAAATGTTATCACGTTTATACACGATAAGCATAATTTTTTTTTATATGATTTATATTAACTAAATATAATTAGATAAGACTTCATACATTTAAATTGTATGATTAAAATGTATTATTATAACATAAATATTCAATAATTATCAATATAATCAACAAAATATGCCACAAAATAAACATACGGCACAAATTTAACGTTTAATTTTAAATTTGAATCGAACGAGCGGGTTGCTGAATATCATATTCAAATAAAAGTGAGTTAGCGTTTTTCGAGCTGTGATATGTTTCTTCACAATTATAAAAAATAAAGATGAAAATAAATAATTTATTATATAATAAAATATAATAATAGAACAATAATATAATAAATAACATAACTGAATAGACAATATAAATAAGTTATTAAAAATTTTTTAAATTCTGTGCTTTTTTAAAAATTTATTTTATGATTATCGATAAAATTAAATTGAAAATCAGTATATAAAATGAGGTATGCATAGATAAAGATGATAAAATTATAGTAACAAGTTATACTATATGTATAATTAATAACTAATAACGAAATGTTTCACTATTTCAGTTGAAACATTGTTATTGTTGTCTGATAAAAATTCATTAATTATTTCTACGAAATCATTAACATTATTTTATTGATTGATTAATTCGTACGTACACACTGCTGTAGCATCTTTTCGAATTATTTCCTTTCCGAATTATAAATACTTTTTGTCTATATTAGAGATTTTGATTACAATATTCTCTTTAGCAACTTTTTAAAAAGAGCTTTTAACGTTAAAAAGAAATATTTATTTTCTTTCTATAGAAAAAATGAAAAAGATTCTTCAATGTAAAATATTAATATTAGAAAAAGACCAATTATAACCATATGTGATGTAGTTCATAAATATGTTATACTTTCAAAAAATTATTAGTAGATCATAGTTCTCCCAGAAATATAACAAACATTCTCTTTGAAATATAATATTCTTTATAATTTCATTTGTCAACTCAACAAAAACTGAATCGAAACATTTAATATTTTTGCGATTATTATTTTAACAATTAATAATATAAAGAATTGAGCATTTTTGCAATTATTATTTCGTTTAACGTATCATTTAAGTATTTATATATCAACAATTCTGTTCTATATTTGACTCTTCTCGATCTATCGACATTTTCTTTGTGTTAGTAAGCAATAACAGTACATATTATGATCAGCCAAATCGAATTGATATCAGTAACGGTTTTTAGGGCTGTGCGAAATTATTCTCGTACTAGGCGCTAACTCGGGGGCGCCGAGCTAAGCTAAGATTTTTTTAAAATAAAATAATTGAATTATATATATCATATTCTATATCTTAATATTATGTAAATAAAATATGATGTATCCATTATTAAAATTTTATACCAATTTTTGTACAAAAATTTGCATCTATTAATTTCTTTTTTCTATTAATATCTCAAAAATAAATATACAAAATTCATAATTAATCATTGTCTTGAATATATTATACATATAGGTAGAAAAAAGTATAATAAATTTACTGTTAAAATTACAAACAAATTCATTCAAGCAATTTCAATTCATATGATTTGAATAAAATACAAGTATACCAAAGATTCAATTTTATGATTTGCATAAATGTAGAAAAGGAAAAAGCATTTTTTCAGTGATATAAGATACATTTCAATATAATTGTTCTTAGTATTACAGCTTAATATTTATGCCATACATAGAAAAGCTAAACTATTAAATCTTAATTAGAAACAATTTGAAATTTTTTCCTCTTACTGGGTAAAGAATATATGTAAAAAATTATTTGCTATAGATACAAATGTAAAAAGAAAATGCCATATATACTGTTGTGTCGGGCTCTCATCAACACTAAAGACGGCACTATTTAACATTGAAACTATAAAAACCATCAACCTGTACCGGAACAGATATTTGTGTTTCAGACGTCGATGTGAATCGTTGTATATCTCTCTTCAGAAGAAAGTCACTTTCAAACCGAAATCAAGATAGAGTCTCGAGATCATTCTATTGTGAATATTGGGAATATTTTTTAAATATTTCTAAAATTTTGCAAATAAGAGGCTTTAATTCGAAGAGAAGTTTTCCGGTTTCATCGTATTCCTCTTAACTTCAAGGTCAGTAAAATACGTTGTAAAATTTAGCAATTATATTTTAAAGATACTTATGTAAAACAATATTTATCAATTTTTCTCTCACAAAGAAGTGAAATTATTCTCTATTATAATAATAATGTTTGCAAATCAGGGAAGAGAGAAATGATCTTATGTGAAATGAATCTCTAAATGAAATCTATACGAAATAACTCGATTTTAAAATTATACATTCGATACGCATGATATTCGTCGGCAAGCATTAATTATTTATCGAGAATCCTACAACGCGAAACTGTTCCATCCGTCTCCTCGTCTTTATCCTACACAACGGCCTACTGAATCTTGTCTCAACCTCCTTGGATATATACGTGGGAGTGCGGTCAGACTCCAGGAATTCCTTCTTAGCCATGTATGCGCCTATTCCTCCCGACACGCTCGGAACGCAGAATCCTACATTCCCTTCAGAATATTGATTAGCCATCATTTTCAGATGACGCCTACGTTCTGTTGGGTGTTCCTCTTGGCGTTGGTGGGCCGCGCCGCGAGCGTACCGCAGCCTCTCGTAGTGGACGCATGCGCCCTTCTCTGCAACCCCGGAGCAGAAACTGAGTCTGAACAAGCGCGGGATCCGGTCCTATATCCTCGATATCCCAAGGTGGACTGCAAGCTCCAGTCCGACTCCGAAGACGATCAGGCGTGGGTTATTTCCAGCCAATGCATGAAACTGTGCAATCGCGAGTTAACAACTACCTTGGAAGTTAATTGTTTCGCTCTGAGATCATCCCTCGGAGCGCACTTAGGATGTTTCTGTGAAGCTTTGACACCCTTGAGCCCCAACACTATGCGCCTTCACGAAAGTTGGAGGCTCAATTACTTAGTAAAGGAGCTGGCGAATGACATCCTCAACGTAATCACCGATTCACCTCTCGATAAAATCATTCTATGTGAACTTCACAGAGAGTTTTTTAAAGATACTCAGTTGGAAAAAACGCCAAACGGAAAACTTGAGAGCTGCTTTATGAATTCTACCTCTAACCAAGAAACAGAAGAAGAGGCCTCTAAATCATCGACTCGTGAGAGAAGGTCAGTATTTTCAGAAAAAGATTTCGATGACGAAAATACTGACGAGTTATTGAAGGGTCGTACGGCGAATCTGATAAATGATCCAGATATATTATTACCAAGTATACCAGACTCTAGAGACAGAGAAGAGGACATTACCGAAATACCATTCGAAACCACAAAAGATCCCAAAATACCGATAGTCACCGATCACAATCATGATACGAAATATCATAATATGGATTTTGAGGACAATTTCATGGAGTTCCAGCAGGAGGACAACCCAAAGGAGAAATCCAAGGAGGAACCATACATAGAAAAATTATGCACAGAATGTCTAAAATACTGTGAATCTAAAAATCTTTTCGGAGAAACTGATAAAGACAACATACTCCATGTATTTTGTGAGAATTGTGATCTCGTCGAAGTTAGATGTAAGACCACTTTGTTACATAAACTCAGTCAATAATTTAATATATATATATACATATATATATGTCGCGTTAATCGAATTGCGATAGTACATTATATAAAATCAATTCTAGTCGTAATTAGACCAATTTATAAGAAAAAAATGATTATTTAATGCATTCTATTCTCTCTCTTTTCGTTACCTAAATTAAATTCCCTTTTGTTGACTTAATATTTGTAAATAATTCTGATAACTTATATAAATTAATAAATTATTATTCAGTAATTGTAATCTATAGTATTTTATGATATGTGTAATTTTTTAAAAGTTGCATAATTTGTTATTAAATCTTAACATACAATCTTATTCAACAGTACTATGTAATAATATAATCAAGCCAAATATAATTGCTTCGTATATGTAATTATTTCGATTTTTATTAAAGAAAGAGAGATTTGCTATTATTATTATTATTATATATATATCTTTTATATTTGTTTTATTTTATATGTATACAATTTGTACTTTTTTTATTTTTAATATGTATTTATACTTTTATATGTATTTATATGTATTTATATATTTTTACTATTATTTGCATATAATATATATATACATATTAATTTGGATAAAATCAAAATAAAAAATATCTATCAAAAATATATGAGAGAGTAAAATAAATTATACATTACATAAAATCTAAAATAATAAATTGTGCTTATAGCACTCGATATGTTGTAAACTATAATTGTGAAATATTTAGTTAATAATTACCTATAATATGGAAGATAAGATTTCGCTTACTGTTTATCATGGATGTAATCGTTTTAGGCTTAAGAATTCTACACAAGGTTCAGTTCACACGATTCGCATTATGTTTTGTCCGAAAATAAAAGTCAAATTTTCATCGTTTTCAGTTTCGATTTAAAAAATGAATATTATACATATGTAATTAAACGCGTTTTATTCATATTTTTTATATATTCAAATTATAAAATGTTAATAAATAGTTAATAATGAATTGCATTCCAAAAAAATATTACATTGTTTTATCACGTTAAAATACATTACATTCTTATTGTATTTTATATATATATACACATATACTTTAAACAAAAAAAGTGTATATTTTACTCATCTGTGAATAGATGATTTTTATAAGTAATAAAGAATATGTGTCCGCGTGTGATAAAAACTTAACTTATGGAAATTTATATATGTATATATATATATATATATATATATATATATATATATACACAGCTTCATAAAATGATATATGTAAAATATATATGTATATGAGAATTACAGTTTTTCGAGAGAATTAAATTAACGTTACATTAGAAAGATTTGCGACGTGTGAACAGGACATCAATGTGTGATATGTGTATTATGCAATAAAATCTATTTATATGCGCGCACTTTATGCAACGTGCATTATCGCGCTAAATGTAGTTTGCCTAAAACAAATTCAGATAGCTTTTATACAAGAGTAAAATATATTAAATAAGCATATGAATGACGAAACAAAATCCACGTCTTCCATTTTTGTAGTCGAAACAATCTTTGGCGGCACAGTAGTCGCTTTATATGATATTTGTATTATATTATAAGCAAAAAGCGATACATATAAAATAATATTCGCTAATGAAATAATTATTAATTGTTTAATGTAGTAAGTATTGGCATCGTCGATCGTCTCCGATTGTCTCTGATTAAGCAGCTATCAAATTGCGGGAGAGATTGTAATTAGGTTAATCGTATAGTGATTAATCGGCGATGTGTTTGTTTACATCATGCCGAAAGAAAAAGTTGTGACATGACAATAAGACGTAGATTTTAATATGCCTGTACGATGTTTTTGCAATCGTATCACGCTCTCGATTATCCATCGATATAAACATACAATCTGCATTGTGATTTTGTGGATTTTTTAATATAATATAATGTCTGAGAGTTACTTATTGAATACTGAGAAAAAACCGTTGCAATTATAATGTCATTAATATGTATATATGTATATGTGTATATATATATATATATATATATATATATATATATATATACACACACGCGCGCGCGCACGCAATAAATATAGGTGTATCTAAGCACAGATAGACGCATAACATCGATCGAATATCGAGAGTGTGATTAAAATTTGGCTTTAATAAATTTTACATTTATATCTTACAATAATATATAAATTATATTAATGTAATTAATATTATATATTTATATAATATTTATATAATCATTTAATTATGTGTAAATAAGTATATCAATATAATATTACTATAAACATATATATATATATATATATATATATATATATATAATATACTAAAAATGTAATATTTATAAAAATTAATCACTTTTATAGTTATAGCAACATAAATACTTTAAAAAATTTTAAGACACAATATACAAGATATGTAAAAAGTTTTCTCATACATCTTAAAGATATATCGATATAAGGCACAGTTTAGCTCTTTTTAAAAATCATGATCTTTCTAATTGTATTTATATTCTATTTATGTTAAGAATATAAATTATGTACAAATCATACAAAAAGTTATACTTTATGCTTTATCACACATAAATAAAATATATAATAAAAACAATATTTATTATAAAAATTTTAAGAATTTTATTATTTTAATATTACTATTTTATTACTAAAAATATTATTTCGTTAATAAAAAGTAAGATATTTTATGAAAATAATGATATGATAAATTTATACAATATTAATATTATACAATATTATCAATATTAAAACGTTTGAGATCATATTTTCTAAAATATTTTCAAGATATTCGTTTTATCGTACCGTTCATTGAAAGTATAGCAAAATCTTTTATCAACCGATAGTAATGTAAGCATTCAGAGAAAATATAGCAGCAATAGATATATACTTTTTTGAAAAATAGCATTTATTGGTAACATTCAGAAAAAATATAGCAGCAATAGATATATACTTTTTTTAAAAATAGCATTTGTTGGTAACATTTTTAAATAATGAAAAATAAACATTTATCTCATTATTTGTTTATTTAATTATTGTAACCTGTTGTAATAATAATTATTTATAATTTTGTTATCAAAAATAATTAAAAGATACTCCTTTAACTAATCGCCTAAATAATATGCAATAAAAAGAAAAATACTTTATATTCTTTTTTTTTATCTCAATATATTACGTCTTTAGAAGATATATTAAAAAATCGATGTAATAAATAAAATATTATTATGTTAATGGCAATCATTTAATGATTCTATTGTTACCTTCATATTATTTTTTCATAATAAGATAATAAAATACAAAGTCTCTTAAGTCGCTTAATAACATAAGCACAATATATTTTGTAGTCAATTATTTCAGTATAAAATTATTTAATAATCAATATTAAACAGATATTGATTTTATCCTATAATCAATTTTGTTACGATTTTCGCTGCATCTCTCCAAGCAATCCTTATTTCCCTGAAGTAAAAGGCAATCAAAAAGATCATCAATTACATTACACTTTCTGATAGCTTATTATCTTTTTTATATCACACACTGCATCTCTATAGCGCAAATATCCTCTTATAAAAGCCAAGCCAAACGTCGAAGCATCATCAGTTGAGTTCCATCCACTCTTCTCGGATACAACTCATTCATTCAGGTGAAAGCACAGACACGCTATTTTTAATTGTAGTAGCTATTGAGAAATACGTTATACCTTTTCTTTCTATATTTCCATATTTTCTATTTTCATAGAATGTAAATTCGTGAGTGAACTTATTTATTCAGATTGTGAAAAATATTTTTGATTCCAATAAGTTTTAAATGTTCTAAGTTTTTAATATACGACTTTACATAATTCTCTCGCGCAAACTGGTCATCATCATATATTACAAATTTTGGTATTTTACGACGAATCAATATCCTGTTGGATCAACTCCGTGACGTTATTTGCAAATAATGTAGGTTGACTGCGTTTGATAGAGACATTTGTCTTCGAGTCGTTTCCTCGAGTATAAAAGCTCGCAGCTTTTGCTTCGTTTGTAACATTTAGTGAGCAGCAATCGTCTAAGAATCAAGCAAGTTTCTTCATTTGCAAGTAAGCTTTTTATTTTATATATTATTTGATATACATTTTTTATTTTATAAACATTTATTAAGAATTTTTATGAAATTTGTTATCGCTTATCCTCAAAAACAAATCCTATAAAACAATAATAATTATTTTCATTACATAAATATATAATCGGAATAATAATTATAAAACTTTTTATGATGATAAGTTTTTATTATAAATAATTATAAAAATTTACGGTGATAATAAAATTATTAAAGTTTCCAGAATTATAAATTATCAATGAGAATTCTTTGCTTTTGTTATATTAGTTGGAAATAAATCAAACCGTCGTCATGGTTTCCATCCGTCTTACTTTCGCTCTCGCTATTGTTGCGATAATCTTCGCCTTCAGCGTAGATGCTGCCTACAAAAAACCACCTTTTAATGGTAGCATATTCGGAAAACGGTCCAACACTATGACTGGTAAGCATAAATTTCACATTAACAATTCTGTCTTATTGTTAATAAAATATTTTTGAAAAAATTTAATTTTATAAATCAAAATATCAACTTATAAATAATTTAACATATATTTAATATATATTGTAAAAAATATTATATGTATGTGCATGGTTTGTGTATGTGTGCAAAGCCAACTTTATCTATGGTTTGCATCCAATTAAGAATACCTACTGACAATTTTCCACTATATATTACACCATAAAAAATCTTTTAAGATATATCGGATCTTGTTCTTTAATTTTTTATTCACTGTCCTTTGTAATTTTGAAATAAAAATAATTATTAAAAATCTCTTACTATTCTTATAATATATTTATTTGTTTAAATTGATTACAATTTATTAATATCTTGCACTAATTAATTTTAGTATAAAAGTTTCTTGAAGCTCAGTTTTTACAATATTTCTTAAAAAATAATAGAGCTCGTAATATTTTCAGATTACGAATTTACCAGCCGTGCTCTGTCAGCTATTTGTGAGGTCGCCAGCGAAACATGTACCGCTTGGATGTCTCGTCAAGAATCCAACTGAGGATGAGTAACCGACCGAGATGATTCACTACTTTCGCCGACTGATCGAATAATGAAATAAAATAATTAATTAAGCTCCTATAAAAGCATTTATAAGCGTGTGCTTGAAAAACACATTTCTCTTCTTTATCAGTTCTTTATCAGCGATAGTTGCATTACGCTCTTCCCCTATATATAATTGTAAATTTATATTTAAACAATATTGTAATTACATTTATGTTGTATTATATTTATTGTATTTACAATTTAAAATTCCATGATTTAGCTATGTTTATTAGAAAACATTATAAATAAAATATGATGATTTCAGGAGCTAATTAGTATTATTTTAAATACTTTTCCCTTGGATCTTCTCCATTTTACTATTGTTTACGACAATCAATATTAATATTACTTTTTCTTTGATAGACAATAATATGTCCCGACAATTTTTTAATTATTATAAGATATCTGCCAGAGAAACAAATATTTAAGATAGAGAATCAAAACAATAATTTATTTAACAAAATATTTGCTTTGCATAATTTATATCGTAAGAGTTCATTGAAATCTTTTTAAATGTAGATTGAAAAATTTAGAATGGAAAGCACGTACTATTCACCTGTCTGGATAAGGGTTATTGTCTATTGTCTGTGACCAAAAAAGACAGATCGACTGGAAAAGTATTGGCATATATTTTATTTAATTGTGCATATGTTGTAATTTATAACACACTTTCAATGTAAAATATATTTTATATTTATACATAAAAATATTCTTTAGTTATATTTACTTAACTACAATAGTAAATTTTAAGAAAAATCTAGCTTTAATAATATATCTTGAAAATTTTTAATTATTTTATTAATTATTTGATATAGAAATGTGTAAATAATTATACTCAAAAGTAAATCAACATGCATCATATATTAAATGGAATAAAAAATATATAGAATTGTGTATTATTTCATGTACTACATTAAAATATCACCATTGAGGACGATAAATCTTCCGCTGATGAAAACAAATCGAGATATATTCTATTGAGGACTACAATCATGCGCGTTCATTTACAAGAGATACATGGATGAAATATTTAATTACTTTTCGATCAAGTATAAATATGTGGGTCTTAATCGAGTTAGTTTAGTACGTTCAAATTATCTGACGGTAAGTAATATTATCCGCAATTATACACGCTAATCTATCTTTATTATTCTTGTTTTTATAAGAGATTTGCTGATTTTCTAACATTATATCTACGACATTAAATTAGAATATCCGATATCTTTTTGATAGATTTTAAGATAGAAGAGCAAATATCATATCTGAATATATGCTCCCTATGTTATTTTACGAAAAATACTTCGGAAGTTATAATTGAAAAATAAAAATTTTTATTCCTATAGTTTAGAACTAAAATAAAACCTGATATGTTATATATACACATATGAAATTATAATTATTTAAGAAAAAATTATTTTCAAGTTCGAGAAACAATTTTAAAGTTTTATTTTTTCTCATGTATTATCTCGTAACTTTTAACAAGATTGAATTTACATCTATACATCAAACCATCTTAATTTTGCATCCAAGATGCATTATCAAGCATGCGTTAGTGATTTCGAAAATTCCATGTTATTTACTCTTATCTATCCAATAGCCGAATGCATTTCAGTATGTCAAACATTTCCTTTAACATCCCACGACAGATCCATTCTTTAGAATACATTTTACTTGCGACGCGCAGTTAAATATTCTCGCGCGTGTTCCACGCGAGGACAAACAGCGCAGCATGATTCAAATGCGATGAGGTTTCTCGACGTGCAAACTCCTTGTCGATTCTCCCTCGCCCACAATCCTCGAGGATCCACTCTTCACGGTAATGGAAGAAGCCGTACATCTCGCGAAAAATCTCTCAGTGTTCACCGAACGCCCGCGAGACGTGCATCTTTCCCGCGGGATTCGGCAGAACTTTATGGCAGTTGCTTACGCGTCGATTGTGATCGAGAATGCCACGTCGATTGGCACACGCTCATCTGCCGAAATAATTATCGTGTTCGATTCTGAGGCGCGTAATCAGTGATGTGCTGTCGTAGGGCGAAGTTGCTTTTGAAGTCTAAACTAAGTTTGATTCATTGCAGGTACTGCAACTTTCTCAGGATGATGCTACGAGGATCTCATACTCGGCGGATCGAAGGTGTTTTCTTTCATGGTAAATTAATTAATATTGTTGTAAGTTCTTGGTTATCAATTTTCGTATATTCAATTCATGAAAATAAAATACTTTTCACTGTTCAATAAGCATAATATATCTAAAGAGTGATCATTATATATATATAATGTTATTAAATATATATATATATATATATATATATATTTTTTTTTTGTTAAAATGTTTAACATTTTATTTTCGTACATTTAGCTTCTCTTCTTGGAGTGATCATGATGTTGATTTGTCAAAATGTTGCTAAGGCGGACGAAGTACCAGCCTTTTTCCTCAAGATAGCCAAAATTCCGACACTGCCTAGAGTCGGACGTAGCGGAAGATTTGAAGATTTCTTTTATAAAGCCGAAAAGCATATACCTCGGATTGGTAGAAACATTCAAGTATGGAATCAGTTTCTTTCTTTTTATTAGAATTAATAAGATGATTAGAATCTTTTCTTTTTCTGATACATCCTATATATCTTGAAGATTTCCTTTAATAATTATATTGAATAATGCTTAATTTCTGCACAACAAATCAACTAATCATCTACTGCAGGACCAGCAAGACATTCACTACGGTTTAAGTAAAAGACGCATAGATTATCCATTGAAAGGTTAGAAATTATTTCAATTAATTTTTCTTCCTATGTATGACGAATAACTTTTTTATGCATTAATTTTATTTAGCGGATGAATGGTCCTGGCAAAACTTTCCATTGGCAATCGAAGGCCCGAAAGAATTGTGGCGAACATTAGCCGGATATTCAAGGGATGGCGATGAGTAAGTTTGATTGTAGGATTATAGAAAATTCGCATTATACGAAAGAAAAATAGATTTAATGTTTCTTTAATCGTCATGAGATTTATAATATTTTCAAGTATTATGAAACCGTACAAAATATATCTCTTATTTAAAACCATTATTGAAGAAAAAAACATTTTTTATTTTATAAAATTATTTTAACACGTTTTGCACAATGTCAAACTATAGAATGACTTAATTATATTAGTATTATATTAATTATATTAGTTGTTTAATAATATTTAATTCATTCAAGTATTGAGAACGAAGTATGGCAGAGGAAGAAAAGAACTGGAACTGGAGCAATCACCATGCAAGCAAAATAGCATAGATATAGCAATTCTTCATCGCTTTGGAAACGCTAAATGAAAATACTATCGTTATATAGCCTTTGCTAGGCTATGTGGTGACGGGAAATAATCAAGAATAATAAATACTTAAATATAAACTATAGTTTCGCTTTTATTTCTCTTTTTTTTACGCCAAATTTAGAGAAAATTCATCTGAATAAACAACTAATCTTTTTAATTATGTCAATTTTTTTGGCAATATTGTATTGTAATAAAATATACACAATTTAAAAATTTGTAGAAAATAAATTAGAATTGTTTAAAATGCAGATTCTTATATGTTTCATATTCAAGCAAATTTATTCTTATCAATAATGTATAAATATTAGCTAATAATGATGAAATCTAAAAATTTTCTGAAAAATTCGTGACAATTCGTGAATCTAACAATTCGTTTTCTTAATTATATTAATTTTTATTTCTGGCATTCCTTAATCAAAAAATCCTAAGTTAAATTTTAGATTATGATTAATTTCATGTATTACATATTATCATATATTACATACATATAAAAAAATATTATTTTTTGAATACAATTGATATTTTTATTTTTACAATTTGATAAGAGATTATATGCCATTTGGAAAATTTGCAAGCAGCTTTTGCATATACAATTCATGTCTTGTAGTTAAAAGAAAAAAATTCTAAACCGTTACAACAATATAATATTATATTGATATTCCAAGAAATCGACAAATTGCAGTGCACAAAATTACTGGCTTGGATATTATAAGCAAATCATTTATCTTTATTTTATTTTCAACTAACATATTGTACGTGCATGTTATTTATATATTTCAACCGTTTTATTATTTCAGTTATATTTATTTTATATTAATTATTATATTATTTATATAGATATTAAAAAATTATAATTTTTTTCAGCTACATTTTTGTTATCAAATCTTTACAAAATTTTTATTTACAAAATTTTTATTTAATAGATTTTATGTAAATTTCTAAGCCATCTCTTATCAACTTGTGGATAATTTATATATTTTATTTTATATAAGAATCTACAATTTCTATTATTTTCATAAGACTACCACTGCAATCGAACCGATACTTATGAGAGAATGGCATTTTGCTGCAAGGCATCTCGCGCGACAGTTGTTCGCTGAAATTACACATGCGAATCCTTCTTCATCGCATCGGTTATTACGTGACAAATAACAATTTGCAATAATATTAACGAAAACCGTAACAACCGAAAGAAAATCGATATAAGCGATAATTTAACGAAGTGTATATAATGGAATGTAACAGACAGGTTGGTGTGAGAGACGTGGCAATCAATACTGCTCGAGTTAAACATTTTGAAAGTTATCTTTATTTTTTGCAACGTCGACAAACGACATTTGCGTAAAACCTGGCCTGGACTTTCTTTCAAATACACGCAACTTTTTGAAACAAGAACTACATGCATGCATGATCTTTTGAGCGATGAAAAGGATTTCTTGCATATTTAAATAAACGAATAAATGCGAAAATTTTCTTCTTATCACATACTTTTGTTATATTTATTTATTTATTTATTTATTTATTATTAGCATAAATACGTATTCGTTATTCTTGCAAGTTTAATCAAGAAAAAACATTTTTCTTTGTATATTAAATATTTTTTCAAATAACTCAATATATGTCATTATAATATTCAAACATTATTTCACTACTTTCGATGAAGTATGACGTACAAAATATTGCTAGAATATTTCTGTAATTGATGTCATATATAAACTTTTAAATGACATGAAAAATCGCATATTGATGGAGCGATTGATAACATTTGGCTAATGCAAGAAATATAAATGTGTAATTCTGTATAAACGACGCTGTTCAAAACACGTCGCGAGACTTTATTTAATGTATACAAGATATTGACTGGGATTGATGTATGCAACAACTAACATAGATAAATAAGAAAGTGGAAAGTGGATTTATAAGGACGAAACAATGAGGCGTTTTCGCATGAAAGCAAACGCGTGGCCTCCTCCGGTCATCACGATCGCTCCTTATTAGAACCAACTTAGATCCCGTAAGGGATAGCAGCGGTTATGATAATAAAAGAGTAGAACCTTTCCCGATCATGTGATCATTTCTACTACATTACGATTTGCGTAGGTGGACTGAATTACAACGGAAGGTGGAAAATGAAAAAAGAGTCGTCCCACATCTCGACTCCCGCGAGATAAATGTTCCTCACATCTGCCGTCGATAAATTTCCTTGCGGTTCTTGTATTACGAGAAAAATGACATTCAGCTTCAAATAAATCGATAAAATTCTCCTGGGAATTTCCGTCATTCTTTTTAGCGCGTCTTATGTGCTAGAAGGAAAAATTATTCTTTTTTTTTCTTTGATACGCGTGTTTTTAATTTGTAATATTAAATTAATTATAAATTTATAAAAAAAATACTGTCCATATTCTTTTCAACTTTTAATATTTTAATATTTAGAATTATCTTAATGAACGTTTTCTCTTTTTAACATTTTTGTTTTACTCAAAATAAGCCAAGTGACATCATGCAAGATGTAAATAGTTATTATAAAACAGTTATTTCTTTATAATTTATAGTATTTTAAAATATTTTTTTTTCAATTTTATGTAAAATATCGACATATAGAAATGTATTGAATAGAATGATTGCTAGATTGTCCAACGTTGAAGCCCAAGATGTCGCCAGTCGAATCTATTTGATGTACATATTTGAGGAAAGCATCACTAGATTGCGCCATGGATCCATCAAATGTAAACATTCTATACCATTGGTTGTTTCTCGTAACAATAAATTGTTGTAATTACAATAATTCTTGCCTTTAAAACGATGCTTTGTGTTTAAGTCCCGCCGCCGCAACCAGTAATTTTAATTCATTATGCGATAACCGCAAGACGATTCACTCTCTTGCCACGGCGACCTAAATCCCAACAAGATTATCGGAAACAGAATTTTTCTCTTTTTCATTCTTCATATCTTTTGACAATCTGTTCCTATCGTGTAATGATTGAAAATATTCGCAGAAAAAAAGAAAACGAGATTATTGATTACCAATTAATTTCTGAAATATATAGACAAATAAACAGAAGCTTAGAGAATATATATATATTGTAGATATAAGTATATATCTCTTATAGTTTCATTTTTTAGCTAAATATAGCAACCGTATAGCTCTGTTTACGTTTTAAGGCAAGTATAGCTCTTAACTTCAATTGTTTTGTGATTTGATGCAACTATAGGTTCGATTATCTACAGGTAGTAGTTACTCGGTTGTAGAAAGATGTGGATTACTTTCTAGTATATTTCGACAAGTTTCATCAATGATTCATGCAAAAGACATTTAATTTTTCGCAAAAGTTAGTATATAAATAATGACAATGATATAAAAATTGATATGTATAAAAATGATAAATTCTAGGCACAGTAACCTTTGCATAGATATCTTCCCTCGCGATAAAGCATTACTCAACTGTAATAATTATTCTCTCCCTCGCTTATAATAGATACATAATTCGCGATATCCCTTCTCCCAGTGCACGTTATAATTAAACCCGGTGCGCGTCAATAATTCCTTAAAACTGCGACATCGGCGCGCCGACTTTCCAAATAATTATCCCGCGTATTATTTAATTCAGCTAATTGCGCGAGCGCCGAGCGTACATTCGCGAGAGCACGAACCCTTTTTAGCGGAACATCCTCGCTCGTTCCCGTATTTTTAGCCAGCGCTTTTTGCACAGTAATCCCGCGCGATGCATAATTCGCACGTGCACGAAACGTCGTTTTCTCCGCCGCTTTCCTCGGCCACGTGCGGTTTCCGTGCGGCCATTTTTCCGCGCGCGCTTTCCCCCGCGGCGCTGCGTGCCTCCTATTTCACGAGATGCGCATCTCTCGAGGATATACCTATACCATTCCGCCGACACGTCAACGAGTACGTATTATACGTCGTGCGCGACGCGGAGCGGCCGCGGGTTTGCACGTAGCAATTTACGGAAACCGCACGTAACGCGCGCTCCGAGCCGAGTCGAGCCAACACGAGCGAACGTTTCCACGGAGTGTTATGTAACGGATCGACGTTGGATCGACGGCCCGAGTAACTGTATTTTCGAAGAAGCGACCGAGCGAAATCATCGAGCCGAAAGACTTAGGGACGATGGAGATATTGGTAGTTCTCATAAAGTTATTTTATAAAATATGTACGATACTTGGAGAATATTTTTTCACTATTTCGGAAATACATTTCAAAAATTTTTTCGTTAATAATTAATAATTTATTAAGTAAATATTGCAATTTGTCAAGATTCTGATTTAGCTTTGGCTATTAATATCATGGTCAATTTAACGTGTTTTAGATCCATTTTCGACAGCGACCGGTAATTGATATATGTTCATGATAATCTAATCTGAATGCGTACATTATTAATGTAATGTGTTAATGTTTATGCGTTACTAGAGCGCATATTTTAATAAAATAACAAAAATGTCACGTGGTGACAGTTTTTATATGCAAGTCATCGGTGACTTTAAATCAGCAGTTTGTACAATGTTGCGTGAGAGGCAATTTTCTCAGTCGTATTTAGTAATCTATTCAAATGACCGATTATTACATTTCGGCCTTGATGTTTTGCACCATTCGGGAATGAAAATGATATGTTGGAAACACGATCTTTGCAGGTGGCGAGTAAACGTTGCAGTTATTCTCTCGTTCTATCACATAATTATATTTATGAAAATAATTTATTATTTCGTGTATCATAAAAATGTGTTTCTTTTTGATCGAGAAATTTATTCATCAATAATAATAAAGGTTAATTTACGCATAATTATTAGCACTTAAAGGCTACGCAAGCTTGCAAGAAGCGGTAGCGGAGCATTTCTATTAAAAATTACAATATTTTAAAAGGAGATTAACATGTCAAAAATTAGTATCCTAAGATAGATTTCGTCTATCTTAACACTCGACACTTTATCTCTACATTATAAATACATATTAATTAAGTAAACTGAATATAATCTTCCAAACGGCTGTATCTTTAAAAAACATTGCAGCACAGGTAGTATATAGAAAAAAATGGAGTTGGCCACGGAGAAGCGAGTGCTGGCGGAAAAACGACGCGGGGCAAGGGGTCATGCTAGCAGGAAGGTCTTCGAGGCGGAAATTGC